CAGACTAGAGTGCAGTGGCGCAATCTCAGCTCACTGCAACCTCCATCTCCTGGGTTGAAGCGATTTTCCTGCTTCAGCCTCCTGAGTAGCTGGGATTATAGGCACATGTCACTATGCCCAGCCAATTTTTTGTATTTTTAGTAGAAACGGGGTTTCACCATGTTGACCAGACTGGATCCTCTTGTCTCAGCCTCCCAAAGTGCTAGAATAACAGGCATGAGCCACCATGCCCAGCCAGTTTTATGGGTTGTTTTTGTTTTGTTTTGTTTTGTTTTTCAGACAGAGTTTCGCTCTTTTTGCCAAAGCTGGGGTGCAATGGCGGCATCTTGGCTCACTGCAACCTCCGCCTCCTGGATTCAAGCAATTCTCCTGCCTCAGCCTCCTTAGTAGCTGGGATTACAGGCACACACCACTATACCCAGCTAATTTTTTGTATTTTTAGTAGAAACAGGGTTTCACCATGTTAGCCAGGCTGGTTTTGAACTCTGACTTCAGGTGATTGACCTGGCTTGGCCTCCCAAAGTGCTGGGATTACAGGCATGAGCCATCACGCCCGGCCAGGTTTTGTGTTTTTAATTTCAAATTCCATTTTTTCATTACTGGTATATAGGAAAGTGATTGACTTTGTATGTTAGCTTTGTATCCTGTGACTTGCTATAATTGCTTAGTTCCAGGAATTTTTTTTTTTGTCAATTATTTCAGATTTTTTTTTTTTTTTTTTTTTTTTTTGAGATGGTGTCTCATTCTGTAGCCCAGGCTGGAGTGCAGTGGCACAATCTTGGCTCACTGCAACCTCCATCTCCCAGGTTCAAGTGATTCTCCTGCCTCAGCCTCCTGAGTAGCTGGGATTACAGGTGTGCACCACCGCAATCATTTTTGTATTTTTAGTAGAGATGGGATTTCACCATGTTAGCCAGGCTAGTCTCAGACTTCTGACCTCAAGTAATCACCTGATGTCAGGAGTTTGAGACCAGCCTGACCAATATGGTGAAACCCCATCTCTACTAAAAATCAGCCGGGTGTGGTGTCGGGAGGCTGTAATCAGGAGCTACTCAGGAGACTGAGGCAGGAGAATCACTTGAACCTGGGAGGTGTAGGTTGCAGTGAGCTGAGATCATGCCACTGTACTCCTGCCTGAGCAAGACAGTGAGACTCCATCTCAAAAAAGAAATTTATATTCAGAACATCTGTTTCATTTTATCTATGTTTGTGTTGGGACAGTATTTTATATTTGATAGTCTTTATTTCACTATATGTGTGGTAATCATATTTTCTGATGCTGTAATTATAATATATAATCTGATAAATATGAATACTCTTATTAAAATGGAGAGACAAAATTTAGAAATGGGCTTTTTAGCTGGGCACAGTGGCTCATGCCTGTAATCCCAGCATTTCAGGAGGCCAAGGTGGGCAGATCATGAGGTCAGGAGTTTGAGACCAACATGGTGAAACACTGTCTCTATTAAAAATACAAAAAAAATGACCAGGCATGGTGGCTCACCCCTGTAATCCCAGCACTTTGGGAGGCCGAGGCAGGCGGATCATGAGGTCAAGAGATGGAGACCATCCTGGCCAACATGGTGAAACCCCATCTCTACTAAAAGTACAAAAATTAGCTGGGTGTGGTGGTGTGCACCTGTTCCCAGCTACTTGGGAGGCTGAGGCAGGAGAATTGTTTGGACCCGGGAGGCAGAGTTTGCAGTGAGCTAAGTTCGCGCCACTGCACTCCAGCCTGGTGCCTTGTGACAGAGGCTCCATCTCAAATAAATAAATAAATAAAATATTTTTTAAAATACAAAAAAAATTAGCTGGGTGTGGTAGCACGCACCTGTAATCCTAGCTACTCAGAAGGCTGTGAGGCAGGAGAATCGATTGAACCCGAGGGGCAGAGGTTGCAGTGAGCTGAGATTGTGCCACTGTACTCCAGCCTGGGTGACAGAGTGAGACTACGTCTCAAAAAAAAGAAAAAGGGCTTTTATAATAAAATTTAAGCTATATGATCATCATAATGACCTATAGTATACAGCGTGTTGGGTTGTCAATGAGCAGAGCAACTGTTTATAAGAGGTGTGAGAAGGTACTTTTGCCCAAAGCACTCCATATTTCCTTCTCTAGCTTCTTTACTGCCAAATTCACAGCTGACTTTGCATTCCAATATCTCTTTTTTTTTTTTTAAAGACAGGGTCCTGCTCTGTTGGCCAGGCTGGAGTACAGTGGCTTGATCTCAGCTCACTGCAACCATCTCTTGGGTTCAAGTGATTCTCGTGCTTCAGCCTCCCAAGTAGCTGGAATTACAGGCATGTGCCACCATGTGTATTTTTAGTAGAGACGGGGTTTCACCATGTTGACCAGGATGGTCTCGATCTCTTGACCTCGTGATCCACCCGCCTCGGCCTCCCAAAGTGCTGGGATTACAGGTGTGAATTTTAATGTCTTCTAGTCAAGGGAGAACTAGTTTTGTAATAGACTATGTCATTCATTGTACCAAGCAATGAAAGATGGAGTTTATTGGTTCTTTCCTAATAGCAGATTATGACTGGATGGCAAGGGAAAGGGGCCAAAAGGCAGAAAATGGAAGGCAAATTTGCCGTTTTAGAAGTGACTTTGGGTTTTGCCTGGCATCAAGATTGATGGGGGTCAGCAGCTACTTGGGAGACTGAGGCAGGAGAATCGCTTGAACCTGGGAGGTAGAGGCTGCAGTGAGCTAAGATCATGCTACTGTACTCCAACCTGGGTAATAGAGCCAGACTCTGTCTCAAAAAAAAAAAAAAAAAAAAAAGGCCGGGTATGGTGGCTCACTCCTGTAAATCCTAGCACCTTGGGAGGCTGAGGTGGGCGGGTCACCTGAGGTTAGGAGTTTGAGACCAGCCTGGCCATTGCAAAACCCCACCTCTACTAAAAATACAAAAATTAGCCAGACATAGTAGCAGGTGCCTGTAATCTCAGCTACTCATGAGGGAGGCTGAGAGAGGCGAATCTTTGAACCCAGGAGGTGAAGAGTGAACTGAGATAGCACCACTGTACTGCAGTCTGGGCAACAGAGTGAGACTCTGTCTCAAAAAAATTAAAAAAAAAAAAAGAAAGAAAGAAAAGAAGTGATGGGGGACAGGATGGTGGCTCATGTCCGTAATCCTAGGACTTTGGGAGGCCAAGGCAGGAGGATCACTTGCACCGGCAGTTAAGGACCAGCCTCAGCAATATAGTGAGACCCCATCTCTATAAAAAATTACAAAATTAGGCCAGGCGCAGTGGCTCATGCCTGTAATCCCAGCACTTTGGGAGGCTGAGACAGACGGATCACCTGAGGTCAAGAGTTTGTGACCAGCCTGGCCAATATGGTAAATCCTCGTCGCTACTAAAAATACAAAAATGAAATTAGTGGCTGGGCATGGTGGCGGTGGCTCATGCCTGTAATCCCAGCACTTTGGGAGGCTCAGGCGGGAGGATTGTCTGAGCTCAGAGTTCGAGACCAGCCTGGACAACACAGTGAAACCCCTTCTCTACTAAAATACAAAAAATTAGCTGGTCCTGGCGGTATGCACCTGTAGTCCCAGCTACTCGGGAGGTTGAGGAGAATTGCTTGAATTCTGGAGGCAGAGGTTGTAGTGAGCCGAGATCACACCACTGTACTCCAGCCTGGCCACGGAGTGAGACTCCATCGCAAAAAAAAAAAAAAAATGAGCTGGGCGTGGTGGCGTGCACATGTAGTCCCAGCTACTTGGAGAGGTTAAGGCAGGAGAATCACTTGAAACCAGGAGGGGAAGTTTGCAGTCAGCTAAGATCACACCACTACACTCCAGCCTGGGGGACAGCAGGAGACTCCAAACAAAAAAAACATTAGCCAGGTGTAGTGGCATAGGCCTGTAGTCACAGCTATTTTGGAGGTGAGGTGGGAGGATTGCTTGAGGCCAGAAGTTCAAAGGTTTTAGTGGGCCATGATTGCACCACTGCATTCCAACCTGGGAGACAGAATGAGACTCTGTCTCTTAAAAAAAAATTTTTTTTTATGGGAATTTGTATGCAATTGAACAGCAGAAGGGAATTTGCATGCAATTTAGCAACAGACATACCTGTTTCTGGCATATAGGTAATAGAAATTTTCACTACAGCTAGTGCTCGACTTAACGACCACGATTGGTTCCGATAGACTGGTCGTCGTAACACGATTTGGTCGTAAGTTGAGTAGGCTATATGTGCAGTACTGTGAAATGATGTTATAAAAATCTTTAAGTCATATTTTATCATAATTTTCTTTCATTATTGTTATATATCATAATTTTCTTTGTTCATTTTATGCCATTTGTATCATCTCTACACCATTTTGTTTCTTATTTTTACATTCGTCAGGTTTAAGTAAAACACTGCATTACCAGTACAACTGGTTTAATATTTGCAAAACATACAAAATTACAAAATACAGGTGCATACAAAAATACAAAATACAGGTGTAAAAAATACCATAGGAAACATTTTCCCAATTGCAAAACATATCAAAATATATAAACATGTACGAAACATTTTATTGGCCGCTGGTGCCTGGCTGCGGATCGTTGATGTCGTCATCTGAGGTAGCAGTTGGGGTTACCGGAGTTGGTTTTTTCATAAACATGGTGAGCTTTGTCTAAATTGTATGTTTCTTTTTTCCTTCATAAATTTCACGATATGGACGAAACACATCGTGTGCCACCCATTCAATCCTTGCAAATCGTTCGATGTTTGGGTCCATTGCTTCGAAATGTATAAGAAGTTTATTGGGAGGGGTTTGATGAAAAATATCCAAGACACAAAACACAAATTGCTGTACCGAGTCTGGGATAACAATTGAAATGGTGCACGCAGAGATGGTAGTGCTGCCGGAAGCTGGTCCACACTGTCCTACGCCCAGCTGGGCAACATTTGCGCTGCCAGACGCGGAGCAGTCGTGGCTAGCGATTGTGGTTGTAAAGTCGAATGGTCGTAAGTTGCATAGGTCATAAGTCGATCAATACCTGTAATTGGATGGGAATAAAGCTGCTGGAATGTCCTCATGTACATACAATAGTCACTATTAATCTTTTGAAAAATTATACTGTTAACTTTCTTAATATTCATCTGTTTTTTCTAATAGGTATAATTATAAGAAATGAATTTTAATGTCTGGAATATCAAAGAGATGCTCAGTATTCCATCAGGCTCTGGGTAAGTTTTCTGGTTATATTCTCTGCTCCTTAAGAGGATTTTCTGGTTTCACTGATTCACAGAAAAAGGGTCCCTGGCTAGGCAAAGTGGCTCATGCCTGTAATCCCAAAACTTTGGGGGGCGAAGTGGGGTGGATCGCCTGAAGTCAGGAGTTCAAGACCAGCCTGGTCAACATGGTGAAACACCGACTCTGCTAAAAAAAATACAAAAATTAGCTGGATGCAGTGGCGCACACCTGTAATCCCAGCTACTCAGGAAGCTGAGGCAGGAGAATTGCTTGAACCTGGGAAGCGGAGTTTGTGGTAAGTGGAGATCGCACCACAGCACTCCAGACTGGGTGACAGAGCGAGACTCCATCTCAAAAAAAAAAAAAAGAGGGTTCCCTACCCATTAAGGGTTCCCTTCTCCACATAATAATGGAGGTACCCCCATATAGCCTCTTCTCCTCTGTCACTGCTGCATCTTCTTGTGCTTTTTTTCCTTCTGTCCATTACAAAACTAGTACCAACCCAGCTCTGTGTGTTAACTGAGTAATTATTTCGTATTCAGCACTGGGCCTATGAGTGTCAGAGTAGGTCCAACATCTGAACACTCAGCCCAGTTGGGGTGACTACTATTGAAGTAACAAGGAGAAAAATAATGACAATGTTCAAATATATGTTCAGTTGTACAGTGCAATTTATAGGTACTGTGGAGATTAAGAGCCGCTCTAGTTATTGACAAGGCTTGTTGAGATTCTGTCCTCTCAACTACTCCACTAAGGTATTTACATTGGTGTCTACTGTTCTGGAATAAGCCTGCCACTGCTAACTTGGTGAGTATTCCCAAGAAGTAGTGTATTTTTAAGGGATTTGTAATTAGTCATGCTATGCTCTTATCACTGGATAGTTTCTTTCCTCTTTAACACCTTCCTAAAGAGTTATCAATTGATCAGAAACCAAGAGCACTGTTTTTAATTTCTCAAAAAGGAAAAAAAATGCTTACAGTTGATGGAGAGTGGTGAAAATCTATCTTTACTTTCAGATTATAGTTTTGTTTGTTTGTTTATTTTGTTTTGTTTTGTTTTTAATTTGAAATGGAGTTTCGCTCATTGCCCAGGCTGGAGTGTAATGGCACGATCTTGGCTCACTGCAACCCCTGCCTCCTGGGTTCAAGTGATTATCTCACCTCAGCCTCCCGAGTAGCTAGGATTACAGGCGCCCACCACCACCCCCAGCTAATTTTTGTATTTTTAGTAGAAATGGGGTTTCACCATGTTGTCCAGTCTAGTCTCAAACGCCTGATCTCAGGTGATCAGCCCACCTCAAAGTGCTGGGATTATAGGCGTGAGCCACCACACCTGGCAAAGCTTCCAACATACCAGTGAAGTCCAGTTGGTATGTTGGACTTTTTTGTTTTTGTTGCTTGTTGTTCCTTTGGTATCATATCCAAGATTACCAAATCCAATGTCATGAAGCTTCTTCCTTCTGTTTCTTTCTTTCTTTCTTTTTTTTTTTTTGAGATGGAGTCTCACTCTGTTACCCAGGCTGGAGTGCAATGGCACCATCTTGGCTCACTACAACCTCCGATTCCCAGGTTCAAGCAATCCTCCCGCCTAAGCCCCCCTAGTAGCTAGGATTACAGCATGTGCCACCATGCCTGGCTAATTTTTGTATTTTTAGTAGAGACCGGGTTTTGCCATGTTTGCCAGGCTGGTCTCAAACTCCTGACCTCAGGGGATCCACCCAAATCAGCCTCCCAAAGTGCTGGGATTACAGACGCGAGCCACCACACCTAGCCTTCATATTTTTTTTTTTTTTTAACACATTGCTACAAAGACGGGTCCAATTTTTTTTTTTTTTTTTTTTTTTTTTTGAGACACAGTCTTGCTCAGTCCACCCAGGCTGGAGTGCAATGGCGTGATCTTGGCTCACCGCAACCTTCACCTCCCAGGTTCAAGCGATTCTCCTGCCTCAGCCTCCTGAGTAGCTGGGACTACAGGTGCATGCCACCACGCCCAGTTAATTTTTTGTATTTTTAGTAGAGATGGGGTTTTACTGTATTAGCCAGGATGGTCTCTATCTCCTGACCTCGTGATCTGCCTGCCTTAGCCTCCCAAAATGCTGGGATTATAGGCGTGAGCCACCGCCCCCGGCCTGATACTTTAAAAAAAAATTTTGCCGGCCACAGTGGCTCAAGCCTGTAATCCCAGCACTTTGGGAGGCCAAGGCGGGTGGATCACGAGGTCAAGAGATCAAGACCATCCTGGTCAACATGGTGAAACCCCGTCTCTACTAAAAATACAAAACATTAGCTGGGCATGCCTGTAATCCCAGCTCTACTCAGGAGGTTGAGGCAGGAGAATTGCCTGAACGCAGGAGGCAGAGGTTGTGGTGAGCCAAGATTGTGCCATTGCACTCCAGCCTGGGTAATGAGTGAAACTCCGTCTCAAAAAAAAAAAAAAAAAAAATTTTATTTCCTTCTCCTCTTTCTCCTCCTCTTCCTCTTCCTTCTCCTTCTCTTCCTCCTCCCTATTTAATACTTTTTTGAGGGGCCTGAAGGTCCTTTCCTGAGGAAGGAACTCAGATAAAACAAATACAAATTTCAAGTTTTAACAGAAGGAAAGGTCAATTTCTATGTTTATCCAAAAACAACTGTTTATGGAACTAGGGCTGATTTCATTGCTGAGTAAAAATAATCACTCTTCTCTATCCTGAGCTATTTAATTTCTTTTTGTTTTAATAATAATATGTTTATATCAAAATAGAAACAAATAGTTTGTATTGATATAAAGGTTTCTTTGGTTCAGAATATGTACTTGTATATTATCTAATTACTTTAAATTTAACATTTGATAAAGGAATGATTTGGGTGTGTGTGTTAATGCAGGAGTCCCTAACCTTTTGGTAACAGGGAACAGTTTGATGGAAGACATAGATCAGGATATGGAGAAATGGTTTCAGGATGATTCAAGTGCATTATATTTATCATGCACTTTATTTCTATTATTATAACATTGTAATATATAATGAAATAATGGTTGGGCACAGTGGTTTACACCTGTAATCCCAGCACTTTGGGAGGCTGAGGCAGGTGGATTGCTTGAGGGTCAGGAGTTTGAGACCAGCCTGGCCAACATGGTGAAACTCTGTCTCTACTACAAAATACAAAAAATAAGCCGGGTGTGGTGGTGGGCCCCTGTATTCCCAGCTACTCAGGAAGCTAAGGTATAAGAATTGCTTAAACCCAGGAGGCAGAGGTTACAGTGAGTCAAGAACATACCACTGCACTCCAGCCTGGGTGACAGAGTGAGACTCCATCTCAAAAAGAAAGAAAGAAAGAAAAATAAATAATTATATAGTTCACCATGATGTAGAATCAGTGGGATCCCTGAGCTTGTTTTCCTGCAACTACACAGTCTCATTTGGGGGTGATGGGAGACAGTGACAGATCATCAGGCATTAGATTATCATAAGGAGCCCACAACCTAGATCTCTTGCATATGCAGTTCACAATAGTTTGCACTCCGATGAGAATTTAATGCTGCCACTGATCTGAAAGAAGGCAGAGCACAGATGTTAATAGAGATCAGCCTGGGCAACATGACTGTCAGTTCCTGGGATTTGGGTTCAGTCCCTGCTGAAGTCCAAGGGGAGTGGGTGGATGAGCAGAAAGAACATTCAGGGGTCTGTAGGCAGATGAATATGGTTTCATTCAGCAGCTTTCTAATTATCAGCTTACTTTCACACTGGCTTTCTTAATAGCAGCTTACTCACAGTGTCCGCCCTGTCTTGGCTGCTTGAGCCGGCTGCCCCCATGCACAGCTGCGAGGCTGGCTCTCCCTTGCCTTCAGGGTCAACAGCTTAACTCTTTCTCTGGGCACGGGCAAGCTGAGGTGTATCCTGGCTCCTTCCTGTCCGTCTGCCTCTCTCTCTCTCTCTTTCTTTGGGCGCCAGCATGCTTGCCATGTCAAGCCATGTTGAGCTGAGCCAAGCCAATCCCCCTCTACAGCATCAGCAGGAGAGTTATACCTTTTATAGACAATAGTGGCATAGAGCCAAGTATGAAACTACACAAACAGGTTATATAACAAGTGGAGGTGTGCACTTGCATGCCAAACTCGCTGAGTCATGCAGGCTTGGATATCCACCTTGGCCTATTCCTTGACCAAAGCACATCCGTGTACCTTACAATGACAAAACCCTGTCTCTACAAAAAATACAAAAATTAGCTGGGTGTGGTGGTGCATGCTTACTACTAGGGAGGCTGAGGTGGGAGGATCACCTGAGCAGAGGTTGCAGTGAGATGGGATCATGCCACAGCATTCCAGCCTGGGCAGCAGAGTGCGACCCTGTCTCAAAAAAAAAAAGAAAAGAAAAGAAAAGAAAAGAGGTCAGATGTACATACAGGCTCATGCCTGTAATCCCAGCACTTTCAGAGGCCAAGGTGGGCGGATCACTTGAGGCCAGGGGTTTGAGACCAGCCTGGCCAACATGGTGGAACCCCATCTCTACTAAAAATACAAAAATTAGCCGGGCGTGGTGGCGCAGGCCTATAATCCCAGCTATTGGGAGGCTGAGGCAAGAGAATTGCTTGAACCCAGGAAACAGAGGTTCAAGCAATCAGTGAGATTTCACCATTGCACTCCAGCCTGGGCAACAAGAGCAAACTTCTGTCTCAGAAAAAAAAAGTAGCCAGGTGCGGTAGCTCATGCTTGTAATCCCAGCACTTTGGGAGGCTGAGGTAGGTGACATCAGGGGTTGGAGACCAACCTGGCCAACATGGTGAAACCCCCTCTCTACTAAAAATACAAAAATAAAATAAAATTAGCTGGGGATGGTGGTGGGTGCCCAGCTACTTGGGAGGCTGAGGCAGGAGAATCGTGTGAACCTGGGAGGCAGAGGTTTCAGTGAGCTGAGGTCACACCATTGCTCTCCAGCCTGGTCAACAAGAAGAAGACTCTGTTTAAAAAAAAAAAAAGAAGAAAAGGAAAGCATGTTTTTTTTTGTTTGTTTGTTTGTTTTGAGATGGAGTCTCACACCGTTGCCTGGTGGCTTGATCTTGGCTCACTGCAATCTCTGCCTCCTGGGTTCAAGCAATTCTCCTGCCTCAGCCTCCTGAGTAGCTGGGACTAGTAGGTGGTAGCATGCACCACCATGCCCAGCTAATTTTTTTTGGTATTTTTATTTTTGTATTTTTTTTTTTTTAGTAGAGACAGGGTTTCACTATGTTGACCAGGATGGTCTTGAACTCCTGACCTTATGATCCGCCACCTCGGCCTCCCCACGAGCTGGGGGTGTTGGCATGAGCCACCCCCCCCACCCATTTTTTTTTTTTTTTTTTTTTTTTTTTTGAGACGGTGTCTCGCTCTGTCACAGTTTGGATTGCAGTGTTGCAGTGGCGCGATCTCAGCTCAATATAGCACCTGGCCCTCAAAAACATTTTAAAATGGATCCTCCTTGCCGGGTGCTCAATAAATGTTGCTGCTAAATTAATGAACAGGCTGGGCGCGATGACTCAAGCCTGTAATCCCAGCACTTTTGGGAGGCTCAGGCAGGCGTATCATGAGGTCAGGAGATCAAGACTATCCTGGCCAACCTGGTGAAACCCCATCTCTACTAAAATACAAAAAATTAGCTGGGTGTTGTGGTACGCACCTGTAGTCCCAGCTACTCAGGAGGCTGAGGCAGGGAACTCGGTTGAACCTGGGAGGCAAAAGTTGCAGTGAGCTGAGATAATGCCACTGCCCTCCAGCCTGGCAACAGAGCAAGACTCTGTCTCAAAGAAAAAAGATCTTCCTATGCACAGATCTAAGTTGATCATATTCATTAGTATGGATGAGGCCTATATTAGTCTGCCTAGATTGCTATAACAAAGTACCAGAGACTGGGTGGAGGCTGGAAGTCATGGATCAGTGTGCTAACATAATTGGTTTCTGGCGAGGTATTTTCCTGGCTTGCAGATAGCCCTTTTCTTCCTGTGTCTTCACATGAGGGTGGGTGGATGGCTGAGGAGTGGCATGAAAGAGCTACCTCTCTGGTGTCCTCCTTTCTTTTTTTTGGAGATGGAGTCTCACTGTGTCACCTAGGCTGGAGCGCAGTGGTGCGATCTCAGCTCACTGTAACCTCTGCCTCCTGGGTTCAGGAAGTTCTCCTGCCTCAGCTTCCCAAGTAGCTGGGACTACAGGCATGCGCTGCCACGCCTGACTCTGTGTGTGTGTGTGTGTGTGTGTGTGTGTGTGTGTGTGTGTGTTTGCGTAGAGACAGGATTTCACTGTGTTGCCCAGGCTGGTCTTGAACTCCTGAGCTCAGGCAATCTGCCCGCCTTGGCTTCCCAAAGTGCTAAGATTACAGGTGTGAGCCACCGAGCCCAGCTTCTGGTGTTCCTTTTTATAAGAACACCAATCCTATCATAAGAGCCCTACCTTCATGACTTCATCTAACCCTGATTACCTCCTAAAGGGCCATCTCCAAATACCATCATATCAGGGTTGATATGATGATACTGTCATATCAACGTATTAATTTTTGAGAGACACAAACATTCAGTCCAAAACAAAGACAATCTGTGACTGTTTTGTTATGGCTCTTTCTCTCCCTTCAGTCCTGCTCTGTTCCTTCCCTGTAGGCACACACTCTAGAATTAATGTGTACCCTCCAATTACCTTCTATACACTCAGTTACATAATTGTTTGATGTATATAATTTGGGTTTAAAAATTTACATAAATGATCTGTAATAGAGTTCATTCAATGTTTACCTTTTATTTTACTCAAAACTATGTTTCTGAGAAGTCTCAAAATCTGATGTGATTATATTTAAATCTAACTTAATGCTTCTGGCTGCTGAATCAGTTAATGCATGTACCTTATTTTATTTATCTATTTTAATGATGAACAGATTGATGTTTTAAAAAGATGACATTCTTGGCCGGGTGCGATGGCTTATGACTGTAATCCCAGCACTTTGGGAGGCCGAGGTGGGCAGATCACCTGAGGTCAGGAGTTTGAGACCAGCCTGGCCCACATGGTGAAACCTCGTCTCTAGTAAAAATACAGAAATTAGCCAGGTGTGGTATCATATACCTTTAGTCCCAGCTACTTAGGAGGTCGAGGCAGGAGAATTGATTGAACCCGGGAGATGAGGCTGCACCACTGCACACCAGCCTGGGCAACAGAGCAAGACTCTGTCTCAAAGTAATCCTTGCACTTTGGGAGGCAGAGGTGGTCAGATCACCTGAGGTCAGGAGTTCAAGACCAGCCTGGCCAACATGGTAAAATCCCATCTCTACTAAAAATACAAAAATTAGTCAGTGTGGTAACATGTACCTTTAGTCCCAGCTACTCAGGAGGCTGAGGCAGGAGAAGCACTTGAACCCGAGAGGTGGAGGTTGCAGTGAACTGAGATCACGCCACTGCACTCCAGCCTGGGCAACAGACTGGCACTCTGTCTTAAAACAATCAAATAAAATAACATTCTCTTAATCTCTATAATTTTATGAACTGTAATTTCCAAAATGATGTTATAGCCTACAATGCTGTTATATAAGGAATAATGGTGTCAGTCATTTCTGTTTGAGTTTCCATCTGGTTGTTCTTAGATTGTAATAAAAATGTGTGGTATTCAGAATTTTCTTGTGTTTCTTTGTAGGTAGTACTAGCAATGTACAGGGGACTTGAAAGTCAGAACAAGCTAACGCTCTGCCCAGAATATTCTGAAATGGACAGCCGTGAACTATGATTTCATTTGTTCAGGATATTTATCCATTTGATATACTTTTTTTTGCTTCATTTCAGGAACATGAAGCCATCCAACTGGAATAATAATCAAGCTGATTATTCCAGTCTCAGTGATTCCCAGTTCCTCTTTGGATCTCAGTTCCATCCAGAAAATTCAGAAACCCTTTCAGCACCGTTGGACTTTGGTGCTTACTTGAGACATTCAAAACAGTCACAACAGAATTCTCTGGAGGTGAGTTTCATTTCCAGAATTGCTCTGCACACATTTCACAGTCATTATGGAGAAAAACTATAAAGGATACTTATTCTGGCCAGGCATGGTGGCTCACGCCTGTAATCCGAGCACTTTGGGAGGCCAAGGTGGGCAGATCACGAGGTCAGGAGATCGAGACCATTCTGGCCAACGTGGGGAAATCCCATCTCTACTAAAATACAAAAAATTAGCCAGGCGTGGTGGCACACACCTGTAATCCCAGCACTGAGGAGGCTGAGGCAGGGGAATCACTTGAACTCAGGAGGTGGAGGTTGCAGTGAGCTGAGATCATGCCACTGCATGCCAGCCTGGGGACAGAGCAAGACTCCGTCTAATAAAAAAAGAATACTTATTCTGGCCTGCTATGGTGGCTGACACCTGTAATCCCAGAACTTTGGGAGGTCGATGTGGGTGAATCCCTTGTGCCCAGGAGTTTGAGACCAGCCTGGGCAACATGGCAAAACCCCATCTCTACAAAAAGTACAAAAATTAACTGAGTATGGTAGCTGAGGAAGGAGGATTGCTTGAGCCTAGGAAGTCAAGGCTGCAGTGAGCTGTAATTCTGCCAGTTTACTCCAGTCTGGGTGACAGAGTGAGACACCATCTCAAGAAAACCAAACCAAACAAACAAACAAAAAAAACAACCAACATTTATTCTCTAGCCTTAAAAAATTACTTATTCTGTTGGAATATATTTTAGAATTGTACATCAGTAAGGATTACTCTCCTAAACGGATTTGTGCTTGATTAGTTACTCATTTGACTTGACAGTCTGAAATGAAAACATTTATATTTGCAGTTTCTTCTTCTTCTTTTTTTTTTTTTTTTTGAGATGGGGTTTCACCATGTTGGCCAGGCTGGTCTCAAACTCCTGACCTCAGGTGATCCGCCCACCTTGGCCTCCCAAAGTGCTAGGATTACAGGTGTGATCCACCACCCCAGCCTGCAGTTTCTTCTATTACAAAGCAACATAAAATAGTGTCCATCGTTTGACCACTCCTATGGAGAGGCAAATATATGTGTGTGTGTGTGTATATGTGTGTGTGTGTGTGTATGTGTGTGTGTGTGTGTGTGTGTGTGTGTGTTTGTATATATTTCTAAGGCTAGTTTTTTTTTTTCTTTTTTTTTTTTTTAAAGAGACAGAGTCTCGCTATGTTGCCCAGGCTGGAGTGCAGTGGCTATTCACAGGCGTGATCCCACTACTGATCAGCACGGGAGTTTTGACCTGCTCTGTTTCACCCCTCCTTAGGCAACCTGGTGGTCCCCCGCTCCCGGGAGGTCACCATATTGATGCCAAACTTAGTGCAGACACCTGATCGGCATAGCGCACTACAGCCCAGAACTCCTGGACTCAAGAGATCCTCCATCCTCAGCCTCCTGAATAGCTGGGACTACAGGCACGCGCCACTGCGCCCGGCTAGTTTTTTAATATATATATTTTATATCTATCTATCTATCTGCCTATCTATTTACCTCTCCCTAGGGGTGGTCAAGTGATTATTTTATTTATATATATATATATTTATTTATTTTTATTTTTATTTTTGAGATGGGGTCTCATTCTGTTGCCCAGGCTGGACTACAGTGGTGCTATCACAGCTCACTGCAGCCTTGACATCTCAGCTCAGGTGATTCTCCCACCTCAAGGGAGAGGCAAATATTGTATGATATTTCCTAACGCTAGTCATACTATTGTTTGTAATAATTTCTTTCTTTTTTTTTCTGAGCTTCCAGAACAAAATTCCATTGACAGAGAATTTCATAAGTAAAAATGGTTTTCATAAAATAGAAATTAAAAAACATAAATTTTATTTAGATGGACTTTTTTTTTTTTTTTGGATGGAGTCTTGCTCTGTTGCCCAGGCTAGAGAGCAGTGGCACAATCTCAGCTCACTTCAACCTCTGCCTTCTGGGTTCAAGTGATTCTCCTGCCTCAGGCTCCTGAGTAGCTGGGATTATAGGCACCCACCACTACATCTGGCTAATTTTTGTATTTTTAGTAGAGACTGGGTTTCACCATCTTGGCCAGGCTGGTCTCAAACTTCTGACCTCGTGATCCACCCGCCTCAGCCTCCCAAAGTGCTAGGATTACAGGTGTGAGCCACTGTCTCCAGCTGAACTTTTTTTAAATAAGAAACTTCATGTATTTTGTATACTTTAGCTAACTACACTACATTATGTCCTTGAAGAAGGAGATGAGGATTCTGAGGCTTAGGTTAATGAGTAAAGGCCAAAATGAGGAACAGAGTCTCTTGAATCCTTGATTTTTTTTTGAGATTAACTTTTCTTTTCCTTCTTTTTTTTTTCCCCAAGACGGAGTCTTGCTCTGTCACCTGGACTGGGGTCCAGTGGCGTGATCTTGGCTCACTGCAACCTCCACCTTTCAGGTTCAAGCAATTCTCCTGCCTCAGCCTCCCCAGTAGCTCAGATTATAGGCATGCACCACCACACCTGGCTAATTTTTGTATTTTTAGTAGAGACAGGGTTTCACCATGTTGGCCAGGCTGGTCTTAAACTCCTGACCTTAGGTGATCCACCCTCCTCGGCTGCCCAAAGTGTTGGGATTACAGGCATGAGCCACCACGCCAGCCTGAATTTTTGAGATCAACCTGTCTTTTTTTTTTTTTTGAGACGGAGTTTCGCTCTTGTTGCCCAGGCTGGAGTGCAATGGCGCGATCTCGGCTCACCGCAATCTCCGCCTCCTGGGTTCAGGCAATTCTCCTGCCTCAGCCTCCCGAGTAGCTGGGACTACAGGCACGCGCCACCATGCCCATCTAATTTTTGTATTTTTAGTAGAGACGGGGTTTCACCATGTTGACCAGGATGGTCTCGATCTGTTGACCTCGTGATCCACCCGCCTCGGCCTCCCAAAGTGCTAGGATTACAGGCTTGAGCCACCGCGCCCGGCCTGAGATCAACCTGTCTTTTTGTGTCAGTCAAAAACATTTTGATTTTGGCGGCACCTATAACTAGATGCAGTTTTTTTGTTTTTTTGGGTTTTTTTGAGACAGAGGCTTACTCTGTCGCCCAGGCTGGAGTGCAGTGGTGCAATCTCAGCTCACTACAACCTCTGCCTCCTGGGCTCAAGAGATTCCTGTGCCTCAGCTTTCTGAGTAGCTAGCTAGACAGGCGCCTGCCCCCATGCCCGGCTCATCTTTGTATTTTTAGTAGAGACGGGGTTTCACTGTGTTGGTCAGGCTGGTCTCGAACTCCTGACCTCAAGTGATCCACCGGCCCTGGTCTCCCAAAATGCTGGGATTACAGGTGTGAACCACGGTGCCCGGCCACACCCAGCTAATTTTTATATTTTTTGTAGGGATGGAGTTTTGCCATGTTGCTCAGGCTGGTCTAGAATTCCTGGGCTTATGTTTGTTTTTTTGAAGGGGATGGGGTTTGAGATGGAGTTTTGTTCTTGTTGCCCAGGCTGGAGTGCAGTGGTGTAATCTCGGCTCACTGCAACATCTGCCTCCCAGGTTTGAGCGATTCTCCTGCCTCAGCCTCCCGAGTAGCTGAGATTACAGGCATGTGCTACTATACCTGGCTAATTTTTTATTTTTAGTAGAGATCGGGTTTCTTCATGTTGGTCAGGCTGGTCTTGAACTCCCAACCTCAGGTGATCTGCCCACCTTGGCCTCCCAAAATGCTGGGATTACAGGTATGAGACACCGCGACAGGCCTGGGCTCAAGTTTTATATACAGACTTATATGCATCAAATAAGGATTTAACAAATAAGATTAAGTTGGTGCTTTAAGTTAGTGAAGTATGCTCTGAGATAAGTATTTCAGTACAAAAATTGGTATCTATTGATATGAAGGAACAAATGACCTCCCTGAATGTTTTTATACCAGACAAAACCCCAGCTATTTGGAGGAGATACAAAAGATGGAGGTTTATTTCCTCCTCCTTTGTCAGTTGGAAAATTAAAAGACCTCTTGGAACAGTTTGAGGAGAAAAAGAAAAGGGCAAAAGCCTAAGAATGCAGAAAATGGCTCACCATGTATCAGCATGCCCACTCTTCAGTCCATGTCAAACTTATCAATATGAGTTTAGTTCACTAGCAGCTGAGCAACAGCAATTTGAGTTAAACTTATGATAATGAAAACTTTTAACACATCATCTCAGAGATAGCATAAATGGTCCTCTGTTCTTGCCTTTAAATTTATGCAATTGATTCTAAGCTATTTTAGTTGACATTTAAAATCTCTCTGGGCTGGTAAGGCAGAAACTATATTAATAAAAACAGTTGCTTTATTTTAAATATAATTTTATGGTATATACAAAAATAAAATGGAAATACTACTTGCTATGTTACGTTACAGCAATATGGTTTGCACTTAAATGTGATTCTGCATTGTACAGAAAATAGTGAATGCTATAAATATTTTTATGTGTGAAATGCTATATATTTTTTCATTTATTTAACAGGGTGAACCTAGTATTTTTGCAAAGTACCAGACAAAACCCCAGCTATTTGGAGGAGATACAAAAGATGGAGGTTTATTTCCTCCTCCTTTGTCAGTGGGAAAATCAAAAAGCCTCTTGGAACAGTTTGAAGAGAAAAAGAAAAGGGCAAAAGACAAATGTGACAGGTATGTAAACCTTTCAAGTGGATGAGACAACTCATTTTTTTCTGAGCAAAATAGGACATAGAGTGTCAGTAATCTAATGCAATTTTAGCATAATAGCATGTATTAGAGTTCTCCAGAGAAACCAAACCCTAGGACTTACACACACACACACACACACACACACACACACACACACACACACACACACACGGAGAGAGAGAGAGAATTATAGACTGATTTTTTTTTTTAGACAGAGGCTTGCTGTGTCACCAGGCTGGAGTGCAGTGGCACAATCTCAGCTCACTGCAACCTCCACCTCCCAGGTTCAAGCGATTCTCCTGCCTCACCTTTCCAAGTAGCTGGGACTACAGGTGCATGCCACCACGCCCAGCTAATTTTTGTATTTTTAGTAGAGGTGATGTTTCACCCTGTTGGCCAGGATGGTCTCGTCTCTTGACCCCATGATCTACCCGCCTCTGCCTCCCAGAATGCTGGGATTACAGGCGTGAGCCAACATACCCAGCCTATAGATTGATTTATTTTAAGAATTGTTCATGAGATCATGGAGGCTAAGAAGTCCCAAAGTGTGCCATCTGAAAGCTAGAGAACCAGGAAAGAGAGTGGTGCAATTCAATCTGACTCCAAAGGCCTGAGAACCAGGAGCTCTGATGTCCAAGAACAGGAGAAGTTGGATGTCCCAGATGAAGAAGAGTGAATTTGCACTGCCTTTGCCTTTTTGTTCTATTTGGGCCTTCAAAAGAGTGGATGATGCCCACCCACACAGATGAGGGCAATCATCTTTACTCAGTCTACCAATTAAAATGCTAATCTCCATTTTTTATTTTTTGGGACAGAGTCTCACTCTCACCCAGGCTGGAGTGCTGTGGCTCCATCATGCACTCTGCATGGTTCACTGCAGCTTCAACCTCTTGAGCTCAAGTGATCCTCCCAACTCAGCCTTCCTAGTATATGGGACCATAGGCATGTGCCACCATGCCTGGCTAATTTTTTACTTTTTGTATAGACAGGGTCTCACTATGTTATCCAGGCTGCTCTTGAACTTCTGACCTCAAGTGATCCTCCCATGTCAGCCTTCCAATAGGCTGAGCCACTGTGCCCAGCCTAAATGCTAATCTCTTATGCAAACACTCTCACAAACATACTGACTATCTGAGCATTGCTTAGATGAGTCATATTGACACATAACCATTTCACAGCACTCTTGCCTTTAAAGTTCATCTAATACTACTGCTACTACTAATAGTTATTATTACTTTTGAGACAGAGTCTCACTCTGTTGCCAGGCTGGAGTGCAATGGCATGATCTCGGCTCACTGCAACCACTGTCTCCTAGGTTCAAGCAATTCTCCTACCTCAGCCTCCCAAGTAGCTAGGACTACAAGCGTCCACCACCATGCCCGGCTAGTTTTTTGTATTTTAGTAGATACAGGGTATCACCATGTTGGACAGGATGGTCTCGATCTCCTGAACTCGTGATCCGCCCGCCTTGGTCTCCCAAAGTGCTGGGATTACAGGCATGAGCCACCATGCCCAGCCTATTATTATTATTATTTTTTCTTTGGTGAGATGGCTTTTCCCTCTTGTTTCCCAGGCTGGAGTGCAATGGCACTGTCTTGGCTCACTGCAACCTCTGCATCCTGGGTTCAAGCAATTCTCCTGCCTCTGCCTTCCAAGTAGCTGGGATTACAGGTGACCACCACCATGCCCAGCTAATTTTTGTATTTTTAGTAGAGATGGGTTTCACCATGTTGGCCAGGCTGGTCACAAACTCCTGACCTCAGGTGATCCACCCACCTGAGCCTCCCAAAATGCTGGGATTACATGCATGAGCTACCACGCCTGGCTATTATTATTATTTATGTATTTATTTTTTGAGATGGAGTTTCACTCTTGTTGCCCAGGCTGGAGTGCAATGGTGTGATCTAGGCACACCACAACCTCCAACTCCCAGGTTCAAGGGATTCTCCTGCCTCAGCTTCCTGAGTAGCTGAGATTACACACTCACCACCACGCCCAGCTAATTTTGAATTTTTTATTTTTGAGACAGGGTTTCACCATTCTGGTCAGACTGGTCTCGAACTCATGACCTCAGGTAATCCACCCACCTCGGCCTCCCAAAGTGCTGGGATTACAGGTGTGAGCCACTGCGCCCGGCTGCTAATTTTGTATTTTTAGTAGAGACGGGGTTTCTCCATGTTGGTCAGGCTGGTCTCAAACTCCTAACCTCAGGTGATCCACTTGCCTTGGCATCTGAAAGTGTTGGTATTACAGGCGTGAGCCACTGTGCCCGGCCCTTTTTTTTTTTTTTTTTAATTCTAAGATGGAGTTTCGGCATGATCTTGGCTTGCTGCGCCTCCACCTCTTGGGTTCAAGCGATTTCCGGCTAATTTTTGTATTTTTAGTAGAAACGGGTTTCACCATGTTAGCCAGGCTGGTCACAAACTCCTGATCTTAGGTGATCTGCCTGCCGTGGCCTCCCAAAATGCTGGGATTACAGGTGTGAGCCACCATGCCCAGCCTATTATTATTATTTTTTAAGAGACAGGGTCTTATGCCCAGGCTGGAGTGCAGTGGTGCAGTCACACTCACTGCCTCAACCTCCTGGGCTCAAGCAATCTTCCCACCTTAGCTTCCCAAGTAGCTAGGACCAGAGGCACACACTACCATGCCCACCTAATTGTTTTTTGTTTGTTTTTGTTAATTTTTGTTTGTTTTTTGAGATAGAGTCTCGCTCTATCATCCAGGCTGGAGTGCAGTGGTGTGATTTTGGCTCACTGCAACCTCCACCTTCTGGGTTCAAGTGATTCTCCTGCCTCAGCCTCCCGAGTAGCTGGGATTACAGGCATGTACCACCACGCCGTGCTAATTTTTGTATTTTTAGTAGAGACATGTTTCACCATGTTGGTCAGACTGGTCTGTCTTGAACTCCTGACCTCAGGTGATCCACCTGCTTTGGCCCCTGAAAGTGTTGGGATTACAGGTGTGAGTCACTGCGCCTGACCAATTTTCTTCCTTCCTTCTTCCTTCTTTCCTTCCTTCCTTCCTTCTCTCTCTCTCTCCTCTCTCTTCTTTCTCTCTCTTTCTTTCTTTCTCTCTCTCTCTTTCTTTCTTTCTTTTTCTTTCTTTCTTTCTTTCTTTTTCTTTCTTTCTTTCTTTCTTTCTTCTTTCTTTCGAGGTTGTGTCTCATTATGTTGTCCAAGCTGGTCTTGAACTCCTGGGCTCAAGCAGTCCTCCTGTCCCACCTTCCCAAAGTGCTGGGATTACAGGCATGAGCCACCATACCCTGCCTCCTAGTTATTCTTTATTTGCTTTCTTGTCAGTGTGATTTGTGGTAAATTTGCATGAGTATACCACAATTTTCTTCTCTCTGAAAAATAAAAACTAGAGGATTTCTAAGAGATATGTAATATTCAAGTAATGTTACACTTACTTTTTCTAAACATCTGCCCCTTGATTTGTTTCTTTTCATATCATCAGGATTAGGAAGTTAGACAATAGTATTTATTTTAGAGTCTAGAATAGAATCAGGCCAGGCACAGTGGTGGGTGCCTGTAATACCAGCTACTCGGGAGGCTGAGACAGGAGAGGAGAATTGCTTGAACCCGGGAGGCGGAGGTTGCAGGGAGCCGAGATTGTGCCATTGCACTACAGCCTGGGTGACAAGAATGAAACTCTGTCTCAAACAAACAAACAAAAGAATATAACCAAAACAACAACAACAATAAAAAAGAATAGAATGCATGAAATTTTTTTTTCTTTTTTTTTTTTTTATATAGAGACGGGGTTTTACCATATTGCTCAGGCTGGTCTTGAACTCTTGACCTCAGGTGATCCACCTGCCTCGGCCTCCCAAAGTGCTGGAATTACAGGCGTGAGCCGCTGCGCCTGGCCCGGAAATTTTCTTTCTTTCTTTTTTTTTTCTTCTTTTTCTTGTTTTTTCTTATTTTTTTTTCTTCTTGGAAATTTTCTTAAAATTTTTTTTGATATGGAGTACCGCTCTATTGCCAGGCTGAAGTGCAGTGATACAATCTTGGCTCACTGCAACCTCTGCCTCCTGGTTCAAGCGATTCTCCTGCCTCAGCCTCCCAAGTAGCTGGGACTATAGGCATGCACCACCATGCCCAGCTAATTTTTGTATTTTTAGTAGAGACGGGGTTTCACCACGCTAGCCAGGATGGTCTCGATCTCTTGACCTTGTGATCCACCCACCTCAGCCTCCCAAAGTGCTGGACTACAGACATGAGCCACTGCACCTGGCCTTAATTTTTACATTTAAAATTTTCTGTGAATTTTTTAAACTTATATTTTGGGTTCAAGGGTATATGTGCAGGTTTGTTACATAGGTAAACTCTTGTCACAGAGGTTTGTTGTACAGATTATTTCATCACTCAGGTACTAAGCGTAGTACCCAATCATTAATTTTTCTCTGATCCTCTCCCTCCTCCACCCTTCACCTCAACTATGCCCCAATATCTGTTGATTTTCTCTTCATGTCCTTGAGTTCTCATCATATAATGTATGAATTCTTTTTTTTTTTTTTGAGACAGTGTCTCTCTCTGTCACTCAGGCTGGAGTGCAGTGGCACGATCTTGGCTCACTGCAACCTCCACCTCCCAGTTCAAGCTATTCTCCTGTCTCAGCCTCCTGAGTAGCTAGGATTATAGGCATGTGCCACTACACTTGCCTAATTTTTTTTATTTTTAATAGAGATGGGGTTTCACCATGTTGGTCAGGCTAGTCTCGAACTCCTGACCTCATGATCCGCCCACCTCAGCTTCCCAAAGTGCTGGGATTACAGGTGTGAGCCACTGAGTCCAGCCTTCTTTTTTTTTTTTTTTTTAATTTTGACGGTGTCACCCAGGCTGGAGTATAGCAGTGCGATCTCAGCTCAATGCAACCTCCACTGCCTGGGTTCAAGCAATTCTGGTGCCTCAGCCTCCCTAGTAGCTGGGATCACAGGCACTCACCCCCATGCCTGGCTAATATTTTTGTAGTTTTCACCATGTTTGCCAGGCTGGTCTCAAACTCCTGACCTCAGGTGATCCAACGGGCCTTAACCTCCCAAAGTGCTGGGATTACAGGAATGAGCCATCAAGTCTGGACTGTGTCTGAGTCTTTTTAAGAGCAGGATGTATAGTTGAGGAATAACTGTAATAGCTTATTTTTCATTAGAAATTAATATTTTCATATTAATATTTATACAAAAATATGTATATAAATATGGACTTTAAAAAGAAAAAAGTGATTTGCCTTAGCAGTGGTCATAGGAAGTCTGTGTTCACTCTCTCTTTTTTCCCCCTGCTTGGCACTAAGGTTTCTTAGGGTCAAGTCTCCAAATCTACTCAAGCAATGTTTTGATGCTATGCTAGGTTAGAGGTCTGCCATATTCATGGAATGATTTCTGTAACTTATCACTTCGATATTTCACAAAGATTTGTTTTCTTTTTTCCCCCCTATTCTAGTGAGACGCTATACAACTTTGTTTCTCATGTTAGAGAAAGCATTCACAGGGTAAGTATAGCTACTTTTTAAGTAATTAGAATGTCTTATATTTTTAAAAGTTTAATATTTATATTGTACTGGCTTTTAATTTATCATTAAATGACAGTTCTCTAAAATACTAAAATAAGGCAACAGGTTGTGAATTCTTTCATAATTTTGAGTTTCTTAGTTGCAGACATCTGTGGAAAAGTCAGAGGAACATCTCAGTTCAAGAAGCCAATCTATTTTGGATTCTTTAGAGACTGTGGCCAAGACATGTGAGTGCCTCATGTTTAAGGTATCAGCAGAGGGCACTGGTGAATGATGAACATGAACTTTCTGACCCTAGCCTGGTTTCCAGTGGTGAGGTTCCTTAGAGAGTTTCAGATGAGAGGATGGATATATAGGGTTAGTCCTGAAGAGATATGGAGCGTACTAAGCTGGGTAGTGGGACCCACCTCTATATGACAATGCGCTGGTCCCATGATGCCTTTTGTGAAGGACTCATCCCCCACCTGGTAACCATGCTGCCTCAGGGCAGGTAGCTCTGCTAGGTTTCTCACCTCACTGCCTGAAGTGAGTCAGCAACATCCTTGAGTCCCAAATGAATTGCCGCCTGTACTGTCTATAGAGACACTGACTGTACCCTTAGGAGTTAGAAATACTATAGTACCTGCTGCTCTTCTTGCTGCCTTAGTTTCAGTGGGAGCTGTGTTGTTGTGAATCACAGCATCATTCTTAATTTCAGTTATAGTTTGTAGTTTATAAAACCCTGTGCCCCACCAATTAGTGATTTACATTTAGATGAAACCATGGTCCTTGCCCTATAAACAGAAGAGAACAAATATACAGTTTTCCTTAGGTGAATACCTCTCAAGAACTACCTGTTTCCTAGCAAAATGATGAGCTGATGACTGTGCATCTGCACCTGTTTGCATTTGTCTGTGTGTTTATTTTTTATTTTAAACAAGTTGAAATCAACTTATTCAAATGCCATGGTGTGGACTGCTCGTGATTTACAAAAATTGATGCCTTTGTGTGGCCTAAAAATTAATCCCCAGCTGTCTGCATAGAAGCACTGTACTGTCTGCTGGCTTTCAATCTGGACATCCCACACACAGGGCAACTATGCATCTGTTTGGAAACTTGTTCTGGAAGCCTTAAGACTGTTACCCCCACAAAGTAGCAAGACAGAGAACAGAAGCAAATCAGGGATGCTTCCTGTGTATAACATGATAGAGTAACTCATTTATAAGTACCTAAGGAAAGCACTCTGGTTTTGTTCTACATTTAAAACTGGGTGGGCTGGGTGCAGTGGCTCATGCCTGTAATCCCAGCACTTTGGGAGGCCAAGGCGGGAGGATCACTAGAGGTCAGGAGTTTGAGACCAGCCTGGCCAAAATGGTGAAACCCCGTCTCTACTAAAAATACCCAAATATATAGCTGGACATGGTGGCAGGTGCCTATAATTCCAGCTACGTGGGAGCGTTAGGTAGGAGAATCACTTGAACCTGGGAGGTGGAGGTTGCAGTGAGCTGAGATCGTGCCACTGTACTCCAGCCTGGGCAACAGAGCGAGGCTTTGTATCACATAAATAAATAAATAATAATAATAAAACTGGATGAAGTACAAAAAAGGGGGATTATAGCAAAAGTGTGACATTTAAATCCTAGAAAAGGGAAAGGAAGTGCCCGAGGCCCCACCACAAGATGAAGGCAGAGAAAGAGCTAAAACTGAATCTGGCTTATAGTAGTCACAGGGATCCTAATCCTTTGCTCCAGTGATTCCTTAATTTTCGTGTCTTCTGCCCTGCTTGTTTTGTTTATTTTTTTTTGTAGAGACAGGGTTTCACCATGTTGGCCAAGCTGGTCTTGAACTCCTGACTTCGTGATCCGTCCACCTCAGCTTCCCAAAGTGCTGGGATTACAGGCGTGAACCACCATACCCGGCCTAATCCCAGCATTTTAGGAGGCCAAGGTGGGTGGATTGCTTGAGCTCAGGAGTTTGAGACCAGCCTGGGCAACATAAGGAGACTTCGTCTCTAAAAAAAAATAAACAAAACTAGCAGGGCATTCGACACATGCCTGTAGTCACAGCTACTAGGGAGGGTGAGGTAGGAGGATGACTTGAACCTGGGAGATCGAAGCTGCAGTGAGCTGAGACAGTGCCACTTCACTTTAGCCTGGGAGATAGAGAAAGAGCCTGTCTCTAAATACTAAAACTAAATAAATAAAATGGAAAAAAAAAAAAAAAAAGACTCAAGGCTGGGCTTGGTAGTTCAGGTCTGTAATCTCAGCACTTTGGGAGGCCAAGGTGGCAGAATCACTTGAGGTCAGGAGTTCAAGACCAGCCTGTCTAACATGGTGAAAACCTGTCTCTACTAAAAATGTATTAAATTAGCCAGGCATGGTGGCGGGCGCCTGTAATTCCAGCTACTTGGGAGGCTGAGACAGGACAATTGCTTGAACCCAGGAGGTGGAGGTTGTAGTGAACTGAGATGGTGCCACTGCACTCCAGCCTGGGCAATAGAGTGAGACTCCATCTCAAAAAAAAAAAAAAAAAAAAGGACTTAGGAAAGGGAGCCATACTGAGAGGACAAACAGTAACAAACATAGTAGCATCATATGAATTGGAAGGATAGGTCATTCTTGAAAATGGGCACAAGTAGCCTATCCAGAATAATTCTCTTTCTTGGTAGGAAATGATAAGGAACAGAAAATTAATCATTGAGAGAGGAACCAGACAAATCCGGTAGCATATGGCCAGGTTCAGTCCAGCTATCCTAGAGCACTGAACTCTACCTCGGCGCATTCTGCAGGCTTTCAGTCTCTACTCACTGTGCTCATCAGGGAATGGGGAGGTAAAGATACTATGTGAAAGTGTTGTCTTGTGTTACTATGTAATTGGTGCTTTCACAGATGAGGTCATGAAATATTTTCCCAGTCAGCATGCCCAACCAGAAGGGTCACTGTAGCCATCTGATCTAACTCTTCCTGTTCTTCAGCTGAGGACACTAAGGACCAGAGAAAGTGAATTACCAAAGCCACTTATATCCTACCTCATATATTAAGTCTGGTTATTAAATTATTTTAAAAAACTAAGGCCTGGTTCGTTGGCTCATGCCTGTAATTCCAGGACTTTGGGAGGCTGAAACAGGCGGATCACCTGAGGTTGGGAGTTCAAGACCAGCCTGACCAACATGGAGAAACATTGTCTCCACTAAAAATACAAAATTAGTTGGCGTGATAGTGCATGCCAGTAATCCCAGCTACTCAGGAGGCTGAGACAGGAGAATCGCTTGAACCCAGGAGGCGGAGGTTGTGGTGAGCCAAGACTGTACCACCGCACTCCAGCCTGGGCAACAAGAACAAAACTCCATCTCAAAAAATAATAAAATACAATAAAAATAAAAAGAACTAGAAGATAACATGGACAACATTTTTATAATTTTAGAAAGGGAAAAGCCTTTCCAAGCAAAATAGATATAATTGTTAAGAAGAGTGAGATCCATCTATATGAACATGGTAGAATGGAAATATCTGTTCATTGTTAAATTAAAAGAACAACAAGGTGCTGTTCATGTGCTCCAGGATACAGCTTGTCAGGAAGTGTGACCAGCCAGTGAAAATTGGGAAGAGTATCCCTAAAAAAGTTGGAGGTGGTCTCATCTTATACAATGAGGCTTCTAGATCTTTCCTCAGGCTCTCATCAGCACCTCAGGGAGAATGAAACTACAGAGTAAAAGGAAAATCACTGGCCATCAGGGAAAAGCATTCATTTCTAAGTTGCATCACAATCTGATCTCATCTCAACTGAAGCCTTGTTGAATTGCTAAAATAGAAACAAATTGTTTACAAATCATCTTGGCTGGGTAAGGTGGCTTAGGCCTGTAATTCCAGCACTTTGGGAGGCTGAAGCAGGCAGATTACGAAGTCAGGAGTTCAAGACCATCCTGACCAACATGGTGAAAATCCATCTCTACTAAAATACAAGAAATTAGCTGGGCGTGGTGGCATGCACCTGTAGTCCCAGCTACTACGGAGGCTGAGGCAGGCCAATTGCTTGAACCTGGGAGGCGGATGTTGCAGTGAGCTGAGATCGTGCCACTGCACTCCAGCCTGTGATAGAGCAAGACTCCCTCTCAAAAAAAAAAAAAAAAAATCTTAACAGGAAAACAGATATTGTTTAGAATATGGAAATGGATTTTAAATGGCATTTTTACATAAAAGCTAAAAATATCTGATGTTTATAATCAAAGCAAAAATGAAATGAATACTCTTCAAGACACATACACATACAGATATAGAACCTAGGATGTATATACAGATATGCACATGAATTAATGTAAAATTCCAGGAACTGATGATATTGTTAAATCCAAGAAGTGAGACCAAGCTCTGCAGAGGAGAGATTAAATCTTTTTTTCTCATTATATGCCTTTTTATACTGTTACAGTTTTGAGTTATTTTGATAACTAATTTTTTTTTAAAGAAAAAATACAGATAGACTTTGGAAGTAATGAGTTTGATACAAAAGCTCCTGTAAAAGGGAAGACTCCAAACATATGTTGCCCTGGGGACAAGAACTCAATGTATGAGACCACAGATGGATGTTTTGTGAGCACTTAATCCAGAATCAAACACTTTTCTTGCCTTTCTCATTCTCTGCTTTTGTGAGGGTCGGTAATGTCCACTGTTGCTAAGAAACATTACTATTCAGGAGCTTCTCCAGGGAAGTATAATTACATTTGCTCTCTACTATAAATATCTACATGGATGTCTGAAGAATATTTGACTAATTGAATTGAGGAGCTGGAATCCAATACCTAAGTAAACAGCCTCTTTCTAATTGATTGACACATGGAATTTAACTTGCATCTGTGGTGAGAAATATGGGAAAATTTCCTTTCTAAATAATTCTTTGGCTGGGCGTGGTAGCTCACACCTCTAATCCCAACACTTTGGGAGGCCAAAGCGGGTGGATCACCTGAGGTCAGGAGTTCGAGACCAGCCTGACCAACATGGTGAAACCCCATCTCTACTAAAAATACAAAATTAGCTAGGTATGGTGGCTCATGCCTGTAATCCCAGCTACTTAGGAGACTGAGGCAGGAGAATCACTTGAACTCAGAAGGTGGAGGTTGTGGTGAGCCAAGATCTCACCATTGCACCCAGCCTGGGCAACAAGAGCGAAACTCCGTCTCAAAAAAATAAAAAAATTATTTTAGAAAATGAGCTGGGAGCAGGTAGCTCATGCCTGTAACCCCAACATGTTGGGAGGGTGAAGTGAGGATTGCTTGAGCCTAGGTGTTCTAGAACAGCCTGGGCAATATAGTGAGACCTTGTCTTTACAGAAAAATAATTAAAAATTAGCTGGATGTGGTGGTGTATGCCTGTGGTCCCAGCTTCCTTGGAGGCTGAGGTGGGAGGATTTCTTGAGCCTGGGAGGTTAAGTCTACAGTGAGCCGTGATTGTGCCACTGTACTACCAACTAGGTGACAAAGTGAGACCCTGTCTCAAAAAAAAAAAAAAAAAGTTGAATGTTTGATTGTTTCTTATTTTGCTACAAAGTTGTTGTTTCACTGATTAAAAAGAACAAAAACAAACAAACACAAAACAGCACCAGCAAATGGAGTATAAAACAAAATTATAACAGTATTGTTTTTCTTTCTTTTTTTTTTTTCTGAGATGGAGTCTTGCTCTGTCACCCAGGCTGGAATGCAGTGGTGCAATCTCGGGTCACTGCATCCTCTGCCTCCCAGGTTCAAGCAATTCTCGTGCGTCAGCCTCCTGAGTAGCTGGGATTACAGGCACCCGCCACCACACCCAGCTAATTTTTGTATTTTAGTAGAGAAGGGATTTCACCACGTTGGCCAGGATGGTCTTAAACTCCTGACCTCATGATCTGCCTGCCTCGGCCTCCCAAAGTGCTGGGATTACAGGCGTGAGCCACCACACCCAGCTTTCCCCCCCACCCTTTTTTTTTTTTTTGAGAAAGAGTCTTGCTACTGCCCAGGCTGGAGTGCAGTGGCATGATCTCAGCTCACTGTAACCTCTGCCTCCTGGGTTCAAGGGATTTCCAGCTAATTTTTTGTATTTTTAGTAGAGATGGGGTTTCACCCTATTGACCAGGCTGGTCTCCAACTTCTGACTTCATGTGATCCCCCTACCTCGGCCTCCCAAAGTGTAATCCTAAAGGATTACAGGCCTGAGCTACTTCACCCAGCCAAGATAGTATTCTTTTTCACTTGACACTGTACAACTGACAAAAACTTGTCTTCACTCCCAGTTATTGGCAACAGAAAGATCATTAAATATACATATATTTTTTTGAGGCAGAATCTGGCTCTATTGCCCAGGCTGGAGTGCAGTGCTGCCATCTCAGCTCATTGCAGCTTCTACCTCCTGGGTTCAAGTGATTCTCCTGACTCAGCCTCCCCAAGTACTTGGGGTTACAGGCGCCCATCACCACACTTAGCTAATTTTTGTATTTTTAGTAAAGACAGGGTTTCACCATGTTGTCCAGGCTGGTTTCAAACTCCTGATCTCAAGGGATCCACCCACCTCAGCCTCCCAAAGTGTTGGGATTACAGGCGTGAGCCACTGCCCTCAGCCAAATTATAAAATTTTTATAACTAGTTTTTACCGTGGAAAATGTCATGAACTTTGAATATTATAGCCAGAGCCTACAGCCTAGTCTAAAAATCATAGAGTATTGTGAAAAAGATGCATATTGTGTTTATCTGTAATAATTAGAAAGTTGGGGGCCGGGCGCAGTGGCTCACGCCTGTAATCCCAGCACTTTGGGAGGCCAAGGCGGGTGGATCACGAGGTCAAGAGATCGAGACCACCCTGGTCAACATGGTGAAACCCCGTCTCTACTAAAAATACAAAAAATTAGCTGGGCATGGTGGTGCGTGCCTGTAATCCCAGCTACTCAGGAGGCTGAGGCAGGAGAATTGCTTGAACCCAGGAGGCAGAGGTTGCAGTGAGCCGAGATCATGCCATTGCACTCCAGCCTGGGTAACAAGAGTGAAACTCCATCTCAAAAAAAAAAAAAAAAAAGAAAGTTGGCTGGGCGCAGTGGCTCACACCTGTAATCCCAGCACTTTGGGAGGCTGAGGTGGGCAGATTGCCTGAGGTCAGGAGTTCAAGACCAGCCTGGCCAACATAATGAAACCCCATCTCTACTAAAAATACAAAAATTAGCCAGGCATGGTAGAAGGCACCTGTAATCACAGATACTCAGGAAGCTGAGTCCAGAGAATTGCCTGAACACAACTGAACAGGATGTGGAGGTTGCAGTGGGCCGAGATTATGCCATTGCACTCCAGCCTGGGCGACAACAGGGAGATTCTGTCTAAAAAAAAAAAAAAAAAAAATTAGAAAGTTAAGGGGTATTTTCTTTCAATAGCAGTATTGCCAACAGTTTCTTTTCCCATTGTTATTGCTAAAAGTTGCAATTTTAAGTACTCTATCACTAATTTAAAATAACTATGGCTGGGCGCAGTGGCTCATGCCTATAATCCCAGTACTCTGGGAGTCTGAGGCAGGTGGATCACTAGGTCAGGAGTTTGAGACCAGCCATGACCAACATGGTGAAACCCCATCTCTACTAAAAATACAAAAATTACCCAGGCGTGGTGGCATGCACCTGTAATCTCAACTATTCAGGAAGCTGAAACAGGAGAACTGCTGGAACCCAGGAAGGGAGGTTGCAGTAAGCTGAGATTGCACCACGGCACTCCAGCCTGGGTGACAGAGTGAGACTTCATCTCAAAAAATAAATAAATTAATTAAATATGCTAGATTAAATTGTTTCATACTAGTTTATTTAGAGGTTTCATTTTCACTTCTCAATATATTTTATTTAGTGTTTGTTTGTTTTGAGACAGAGTCTGGTTCTGTTGGCCAGGCTGGAGTGCAGTGGTGCAATCTTGGCTCATTGCAACCTCCCTTCTTGGGTTCCAGCAGTTCTGTTTCAGCCTGCTGAGTAGCTGGGACTACAGGCACACGCCACCATGCCTGGCTAATTTTTGTATTTTTAGAAGAGACAGGGTTTCACCCATATTGGTCAGGGTGGTCTCAAACTCCTGACCTAAGGTGACCCACCTGCCTCAGCATCCCAAAGTGCTGGGATTACAGGTGTGAGGCACCTCACCCAGCCCTTACTTAGTTTTTATATGCTTCTTCACTCATTTATTTGAGTGTTTCTGAAGGGTTGCTTAGTGTCACATTGATCAGCCAACCATCTTCATAAGATTTGTTGACGAGTCCAATATTTTCTGCAAGAGCTTCATTAATTTTGGTTACTTCTCCTATTAGAGAATAGAGTTCTTTAGCAGCTTTCAAACTTTTCAAAGCACCAAATTCATCTTTTTGTTTTTTTTTCTTTTAGACAGTCTCACTCCGTTGCCCAGACTGGAGTGCAATGTTGTGATCTTGGCTTACTGCAACCTCTGTCTCCTGGGTTCAAGATATTCTCCTGCCTCAGCCTCCTGAGTAGCTGGGAATACAGGCGTGCACCACCATGCCCAGCTAATTTTTATATTTTTAGTAGAGAAGGAGTTGCACCATATTAGTAAGTCTGGTCTTGAACACCTGACATCATGATCTGCCCACCTTGGCCTCCCAAAGTGCTGGGATTATAGGCATGAATCATTAACCACCGCACCCAGCCTTTTTTTCTTTTTCTTTTTTCTGAGATGGAGTTTCACTCTTGTTGCCCAGGCTGGAGTGCAATGGCAAGATCTCAGCTCACTGCAGCCTCCACCTCCAAAGATGAAGTGATTCAAGTGATTCTCCTGCCTCAGCCTCCTGAGTAGCTGGGATTAGAGGCATGCACCACCATGCCCAACTAATTTGTATTTTTAGTAGAAAGGGGGGTTCTCCATGTTGGTCAGGCTGGTCTCGAACTCCTGACCTCAGGTGATCCACTCGCTTTGGCCTCCCAAAGTGCTGGGATTACAGGTATGAGCCACCATGCCTGGCCACCAAATTCGTGTTGTTTGTTCAGTTTTGTCCCAACTTTAGGCAGAGTACAGCAAACATTTTCCAAAGCTTACTGTGCAAAATTGTGGATTCCTACTGTTTTAATACCATTTTCTGTTGTTATCCGTTAGTGTTTGTGAATTTACACACTGAGAGTAAGGCATATGCAGTTTCCAGAAGGCGGTCAGCATTGCCAGTGGGGTGGGGCAGCCCTGGGCCCACTTTTTAAAAATTGTGGTAAAAAACACAATTTTCCCTTTCTTTATTTTTTTTTTTTTCCTTTTTTTTTTTTTTTTTTTTTTTGAGATAGGGTCTTCCTCTGTCGTCAAAGCTGGTGTGTAGTGGCACAAATACAGCTGACTGTAGCCTTGACCTCCTGGGATCAAGCAATTCTCCCACCTCAGCCTCCCGAGTGGCTAGGACCACAAGCACGTACCAACCAACCCAGCTAATTTTTTTATTTTTTATTTTTTAGAGACTGGATCTCACTATGTTGCCCAGGCTGGTCTAGAAATCCTGGGCTCAAGCAATTCTCCCACCTTGGCGGCTTCCCAAAGTGCTGGGATTACAGGTGTGAACCACTGTACCAAACCTGTTTATTATTTTTCCCCCTTCTAGACTGTAAAATTCATGTAGGTAGACAGTTTTGTTCAAAATTGTTTCCCATGTAGCACAGTGTCTGGCAATAACTTTCAGAGAAAACTGTAAATCTCGGCTGGGCATGGTGGTTTATGCCTGTAATCCCAGCACTTTGGGAGGCTGAGGCAGGTGAATCACCTGAGGTCAGGAGTTTGAGATCAGCCTGGCTAACATGGCAAAACCCCATCTCTACTAAAAATACAAAAAATTAACTGGGCATGGTGGTGCATGCCTGTAATCCCAGCTACTTCGGAGGCTAAGGCTGGAGAATCACTTGAACCCAGGAGGCAAAGGTTGCAATAAGCTGAGATTGCGCCACTGCACTCTAGCTAGGCAATAGAATGAGACTGTGTCTCAAAAAAGGAAAAAATAATTAAGTCCACTAATCTTTCCATGGCCCACATACCTCTCTGTGCAGCTCTGACCTGCCTCCCCACAGCTGGGGCCTACTTTTGGGCCCCTTGCTCACCATGTTTCAGCCATGCTGATCACATAATTCCTCTTTTTGGAACATGCTCTTTCTTCTGTTGGTAATATTCTTTCCTCCACAGTTGTATGAAAATTCAGCTAAATATTAGTTTCTTAGGGAAGTCGTAACCCTGAAAGTGACTGTCTACATGTTACATGGTTTCAAGCACAGTATACTCATTAACTACCTGTTTTCTCTGATAAGATTGCAATTTCAAGAGGGCTTTATCTGTCTTTTCTTTCCTTTTTTTTTTTTTTTGAGATGGAGTCTTGCTTTGTCAGCAGGCTGACATGCAGTGGCACAATCTCGGCTCACCACAACCTCCACCTCCCAGGTTCAAGTAATTCTTCTGCCTCAGCCTCCTGAGTAGCTGGGACTACAGGTGCGCACCACCACACCCAGCTAATTTTTGTATTTTTAGTAGAGACAGGGGTTTCACCATGTTGGCCAGGTGGTCTTGATCTCTTGACCTCATGATCTGCCCTCCTCGGCCTCCCAAAGTGCTGGGATTGCAGGCGTTAGCCACTGGGCCCAGCCATTTTTTGAGATGAAGTCTCGCTCTGTCACCCAGGCTGGAGTGCAATGGCATTAGCTCAACTTGCTGCAACCTCCACCTCCCAGGTTCAAGCAATTCTTGTGCCTTAGCCTCTCAAATAGCTGGGACTACAGGCAGTCACCACCATGCCTGGTTCATTTTTGTATTTTTAGTAGAGATGGGTTTTTACCACGTTGGCCAGGCTGGTCTCGAACCCCTGACCTCAGGTGATCTGCCCACCTCAGCCTCCCAAAGGCATGAGCCACCATGCCAGCTAGCTTTGTCTTGATAACTGTTATATCTATAGGGCCTGGCATATAGTATATGCTTATTAAACATTCATTGAATAAATATCAAAGCATCTTCATAGGACCTATAGCCTAGCAAGAGTATGGCAATAAATTGCAACATAATGTGTCATTAAATTGGTGTGTGTGTGTGTTATAGAATCTTAGTGTGCAAAAGAGGGAAATCAATATCAGTCCTGATGTAGTTAGCACTCAGGTCCCCAAGTCTATTTGAGTCCAAGAGTAAGTATGAGATAAATAAGTGGAGGGCAACAAATGATGGTAGGGAACATACACAGTGCTACCAGCAGAGAGAAGCAACACCCAAGCTGGGTGGGAAATGGTGTTTTCTGAGGAGGTGACTGCTGAAAGTAGAGGGAAAACTAGGAATTAGCTGGACCAAGGTCGTGATTAGGGGGAGGGGTAGGATGACAGGGACAGAAGCAGGGTACTTGAAGCTAAGACTTTGCACAAAGGCCAATGGTGAGAGAGAAAAGAGAGTCCGGAGACATGGAGGGGAGGATAAATGGGTAAAGGGAAGAGCCCAGATCTTGTTAGCCAATTTAAAGATTCAGATTTTGTTCAGTGACCACTGGGGTGCCATTGAAAATTTCAGTGGGCCAGTGCAGTGCCTCATGCCTGTAATCACATGCAGCACTTTGTGAGGCGGAGGCAGGCGGATCACCTGAGGTCAGAAGTTCAAGACCAGCCTGGCCAACATGGTGAAACCCCATCTCTACTAAAGATACAAAAATTGGCAAGTGCAGTGGCTCACACCTGTAATCCCAGCACTTTGGGAGGCTGAGGCGGGCAGATCACCTGAGGTCAGGAGTTCGAGAACAGCCTGGCCAACATGGTGAAACCCCATCTCCACTAAAAATAAAAAAAATGAGCTGGGTGTGGTGGCGTGCACCTATAGTCCCAGCTACTCAGGAGGCTGAGGTAGGAGAATCGTTTGAACTTGGGAGGCGGAGGTAGTAGTGAGCTGAGATTGCGCCACTGCACGCCAGTCTGGGTGACAGAGCGAGACTCTGTCTCAAAAAAAAAAAGTTTCAATGAAGGTTTCAGAGAGGGCGTGATGACACCTCCATTCTACAAAGTTCACTCTGATGACAGGGCCAAGAAGGAAGGCCACGGTGGTTTGTGCTATTGTCTGGGCAACTGATTCTCAGGGCTCCCAGCAGGTGCTGAGGTTAGGTCTGCCCAGCCAGGATCTTGTCAAGGAGGGAGGGAAGGAGAGTCTGGAAGAACCACTCTGGTCTGCATCCAGCTCCTCCCTTTTCACTGCTGTGGTACTATGGTTCTGTGGTTTGGGCAGATGGGACATACCATACATAGTCTTCAGGAGGTGAATTGTCATTGTTGTGTATTTAGTACAAGAGACTGTGCAGGCCCAGAATGAACTGGTGTTTGAGGCAGTGCAGGACAAAGGCAACATGAAGCAGGCCATCCTTGAGATGAAGAAAAGATTTGAAGCAGTAAGTATAAACCCCAGCCTTTTTCCTTAAGCGTGTTTTGGGTGTTGTAACTAGACTCAGAGAGAAATCTTTAAAGTTGCAAACTTTCAGCCAAGACAAGAGACCAGCACAGGCCACTTGGTAACGGGTCAACATATAGGCTAGCTTCCTTCCCCAAGGTTTCTTGGCATGATGTGGGCCCCAGGGGTTCAACTCCAGAGTGTAGTTGTGCTTACCCTGGGAGGTTCCCTGAAAGGAGCAAGCTTTGGTTCTGCTGGCACATCCATTGGTCTATTTTCATGTTTTATTGTGCTTTCTGACTTGCATTGTCCATTACTCTCTTTATCATTGCCTCTCACCCCAGAGACAAGCAGAGTTCATAGAAATGAAGTCCAACCTCAAGCACCTTGAAGTTTTAGTTGCTCAGCAGAGTAAGGAACTCCAGCAGCTGTGTGAGCAACTAGGCCAGCTGAATGTGCCCAGTGTCCTAGCAGAGCTGAAGAGATTGATCTCAGTGCCTCTAGTACCTGGGCATGTGAAAGACAGTGCTTCTCAAACATCGCCACCTTTGGCCCAGAGCCTCAATCTCACCAGGCAGGAAAAAGACACCTCTGAGGAACCAGTTTTATGGCAGGCCCAGGCCCTCCCTGCTGCATGGAATCCTAGTATGGGCTCCCTACAGCCTGGAGAATTTGGTGTCTGGGGTGAAGGAGCAAAGAATGATGCTCTCCAAGAAGAGGCTGCACTGCCAGCATTTGGATCCCATGAAAGAAATAGGCACGTAAAGGACAAGGCAGTGCAGACTAACTGCAAGAACTGGGCTATTACTAAAACAGGTGCCAAGAACCATGGTTTCAGCACCCCAGGCCATAAGGTTCCTAGTGACAGGGACCTGGTTTCCCAAGGAGCCTCACAGCTCACATCCCTGGAGATAAACAGCGTTTCAACCAGCACTAAGAATGCCTGCCAAAAATATCAAGCCCAAAGTATGTTTTTGTGTGACCTATGCCCATGTGAACAGCTAGTGACTAAACAGAAAGATGGGACTGTAGAAATGAGGGGGAAAGGCAAGGAGCGGCAGCCCAGGAAGGCCCACAGGGCCCACAGAGGCAAGCTCCTAGCCAGGAAGCAAAAACAAATCCCAAACCGGACCTGTACATTCAATTTCAAATATCAGAGTCCTCAGCCTGCAGTTTCTGACCCACAAAGTCCCCTCCTCAGGCAGCAGGAACCCCTTGCTCAGCCTCTGCATCTGCAGTATCCCAGGAGCCCTAGAAAACCAGTCTGCCCTGTTCTGGGAGGAACAGTCATGTCCAATAAGACAACAAGGGCAGTTCAGGGAAGACGCTTACAGCTCAGCAGGTGCTCTTCCCATGACAACAGGCTGCTTTCCAGCAGTCCCCAAGGGGACCACCAGATGAGCTGGTTCAGTGACCTCAATCTTGGATGTTCAGAGACCCCTCTATGCAAGGAGACAGGGAATAATTTGCTCTATGACCTGGGTTTTGATAGCAGTGATGATGGCTTCTGACCGGCCCACAGTTGGTTTATTGGTCTCAGCTAGAAAGACAAATTGCAGAACATTTGGTCTGGCCAACAGTAGAAAGTTCCTGAAGCCTGCCAAGGACCCTCAGGGTCAGAGGCCCTGCTGAGGAGGGGTCACTGGGTGGCAGGGGCACGGGAAGGTCCAGCACTCTGGGTACCAGACAAGGACATAGGGTTAAGTGCATCCTTATTTATTGGAATGAAATGTAAAAATGGTGGTGATGAGAGCTGAGGCAGCAGCCTGGTGGTGGGGCATCTGGAGGAGGGTGCTTGTACGTAGCGAAAGGCAGGCAGGCTTCCTTATGGAATACTGTGTAGCAGAAGGGCTCTCAAAAAACTGTAGCTGTAGCAGCATGACTCCAAACAACATTTTTGGGTCTTTAAAATATTCCCTACACATAACCAATACATTTTCAGGCCTTGGGATTTTTTTTTTTTTTTTTTTTTTTTTACCCACTTATGCTGCCAGAATGTTTGCATTTTTTGATCAGTAGACATATTACAGGACACCCTAAATCTTCCTGTGAACAGAGAAAGAGTGATAAGGCTGCCAGTGAAAGAGCTGACATGCACTAACAAATGTCCAGAGCATCACTGCTCACAAGCCATTTTTCTTCCTGGCTGCTTTTTCCCTTGTTCTGTTTTTCAAGCACTCTTAAAACTATTAATAGTGCAGACCTTGTATTATTCCTGAAGAGCAGTGGGCTTATATGGAACTTTGGCTTTCCATTTATATCTTGCTGAAGTTTGTTGTTGTTGTTAGTTTTTTTTTTTTTGAGACGGAGTCTCACTGTTGTCAGCCCACCCAGGCTGGAGTGCAATGGCGTGACCTTGGCTTACTGCAACTTCAGTCTCCTGGGTTCCAGCAATACTCCTGCCTCAGTCTTCTGAGTAGTTGAGATTATAGGCGCCTGCCACCATACCCGGCTAATTTTTGTATTTTTAGTAGAGACGGGGTTTCATCATGTTGGCCAGGCTGGTCTTGAACTCCTGCCCTCAGGTCATCCGCCCACCTGGGCCTCCCAAAGTGCTGGAATTACAGGTGTGAGACACCATGCCCAGCCTATTTAAAAGTTATTTTTTCAATTTTGGTAACACATGTATTTTTTTGTAATCAGAAATTAAGATAAAACATTTAAAAACATATATATGTATATATGTATGTGTATGTGTATGTGTGTGTGTGTGTGTGTGTGTGTGTGTGTGTGTATATATATATATATATTTTTTTTTTTTTTTTTCCCCAAGATGCAGTCTTGCTTTGTCACCCAGGCTGGAGTGCAGTGGTGCTATCTCAGCTCACTGCAACGTCTGCCTCCCCAATTCAAGCAATTCTCCTGCCTCAGCCTCCCAAGTAGCTGGGATTACAGGTGCCTGCCAACACACCCAGCTAATTTTTGTTATTTTTAGTAGAGGCAGAGTTTCACCATGTTGGCCAGGCTGGTCTCGACCTCCTGACCTCGTGATCCAGCCGCCTCTGCCTCCCAAAGTGCTGGGATTATAGGCGTGAGCCATTGCTCCAGACTTATTTTTTTCTTTCAAGTTTATCAAACTTATGTCTCAGTTTAATATTTTAAGTTTACCTAAGAAATCAAATAGAAGCTACGGACAGTGGTTCACACTTGTAACCCCAGCACTTGTGGAGGCTGACTCAGGAGGACTGCTTGAGGCCAGGAGCTCAGACCAACCTCGGCAACATGGTGAGACACCATCTCTACCAAAAAAAAAAAAAAAAAATCAGCTAGACGTGGCAGTGTGTACCTGTGGTCTCAGCTACTTGGGAGGCTGAGATGGGAGGGTCACTTTAGCCCAGGAATTTGAGGTTACAGTGAGCTATGACTGTGCCACTGCACTCCAGCCTGAGTAACAGACCAAGACCCTGTCTCTTAAAAACAAAAATCAGATACATATCATCTTTTTAGTTCCTAAAGCTCTCACAAGATGAGTTTGAATAAACACCACCCATTCAAACTGGTTTTTCCTTTTCCTATATTATATGAAGGTGAAGATCCTCATGGGATGGATAGTTTCCAGAATTTGCCCATTTCCAAGCCAGTACCGTAGCTGACTTTGGGGCCACTGAGTGGACCACTGTAGAAAGCTATGATTCTTGTTTTTTAATTTTTACATTATTTTCAGGGATGTGTGTCCCATCAAAGTCTCATTATGGAGGAGCAGAATTTTCCTGGGACACCTATGGCAGGGCTGCCAGACACCTAAACTACTCTCACTCTCATTTCCAGACCAAGGGCCTCCTGTGGCCTGTAGGGAGCCGTGGGCAAGCACAGCAAACCTCTCTGAGGCCAAGGAAGTTCAGGTATGAGCTGTACACGAGGCTGCCCTGGCCCCTCTTCTCCCTTCGGTCCTCACTGGGTGTCTTCTCACCCTGCCCTCTGCCACCTCCACTGCTTTCCCTGCTGGATTTCATTGCTTGTGCAAGCAAGATATGGAAGGAGTCCAGCCACACAATGGGTTATTTCTAGCCTTTCACAGATTGACTAAATGCCGGAGGGGCTGTATCTAGAAATCTTTTATTACTCTAAGTTGAACAGTTTAATGATTAGTCATTTGAATTCAGACTTGAGACTCCATTAATATTTATGACTTTGGTCTTCTTATTGAGAACTGTGTCCAACTTTGAAATGCCAGAGCAAGACCCTTTGTTCTTTGATCCTGCTGTGAGTTAAATTCTGTATTTCTTCAGAAGTATTTAATTTTGTGTATTGAAGTCAAGGCTCAGAGTGACTCAGTGTTCCATGAGTTAAGTATCTTTGTAGAATGAACAGTAAACTTATCTCCTAATAAGACTGGGTTAATTAAAATTACACTGCCTGTCTCTGATAATCATCAGAAAAGGATGTTGTTTCTTAATTTATTCTTAAGGCTTAAGAAAAAAAATTAACTACTGTGTTCCTGCCAGATTTGGTGAGGGTGACACAGCCCAAGCATGTCCCTGGGGCAATCAACGTTTTTGGCTCTTCAGATGCTCCTGGAGCTGTATGTGGCTACCCAGAGGTAGATGTGGTGGGATGTCTATGGACCTGGGGCCCAAAAAGCTACCCAGGGCGTTCTCCCTCTGATACAACTTCAGCTACAGCCCAAGGATGGAAATTAAGCTGACTACAGTACCAAATTGTCTCCACATTCACATGTATCAATGTATTTATTATTATTATTTTTTGAGATGGTGTTTCACTCTTGTGGCCCAGGCTGGAGTGTGATGGTGCAATCTCAGCTCACTGCAACCTCCACCTCCTGGGTTCAAGTGATTCTCCTGCTGCAGTCTCTGAGTAGCTGGAATTACAGGCACCCACCACCACATTGGTTAATTTTTGTATTTTTAGTAGAGATAGGGTTTCACCATGTTGGCCAGGATGGTCTCAATCTCTTGACCTTGTGATCTACCCACCTTGGCCTCCCAAAGTGCTGGGATTACAGGCATGAGCCACTGTGCCTGGCCTTTTTTTTTCTTTGACACAGAGTCTGACTGTCGCCCAGGCTAGGGTGCAATGGCATGATCTCAGCTCACTGCAACCTCTGCCTCCTGGGTTCAAGTGATTCTCCTGCTTCAGCCTCCTGAGTAGCTGGAATTACAGGTGGGCACCACCATGCCTAGCTAATTTTTGTATTTTTAGTAGAGATGGGGTTTCACCATGTTGACCAGGCTGGTGTCGAATTCCTGACCTCAGGTGATCTGCCCACCTCGGCCTCCCAAAGTGCTGGGATTACAGGTATAAGCCATTGTGCCTGGTCACACCCAGCTAATTTTTATATTTTTTGTAGGGATGGGATTTCACCATGTTGCCCAGGCTGGTCTTCAACCCCTGGGCTCAAGCCATCCGCCCACCTCAGCCTCTCAAAATGCTGGGATTACAGGAATGAGCGAGTTTATGCTAGGCCTGAGGCCAAAATTCTTCATCAAATCAGGCAATTTCCGGACAGCCTAGAACACAGAGTCCTTCCCCACTACTGCTGGGATCCATTTTCAAATAGTTTTCCTAAGTAAACCTTTGTTCACTCTAAATATTTAGTTGGAACCTAAAATATTAATGTTCTCCCACACTTTCCCAGGAGAATGCAAATAGCTTTAGCCACAGTTTGTCTCAAGATGACAGAGCCTTTTCTTTTTTTAAAGTTTTTTATTTAAAAAAATTAAATATAGGCTAAGCATAGTGGCTCATGCCTATAATCCCAACACTTTGGGAGGCTGAGGCAGATACGATTGTTTAAGTTCAGGAGTTCCAGACCTCATCTTTACAAAATACAGAAATTAGCCAGGTGTGGTGGCAGGTGCCTATAGTCCCAGCTACCTGGGAGGCTGAGGCAGAAAAACCATTTCAACCCGGGAGGCGGAGACTGCAGTGAGGTGACATCATGCCACTGCACGCACTTCAGCCTGGGCAACAGAGTAAGACCCTGACACACACAGACAATTTAAAAATAGAGATGGTGTCTCCCTGTTTCCCAGACTGATCTCAAACTGCTGCACTCAAGCAGCCTCCCAAAGTGCAGGGATCACAGGTTTGAGCCACTGCGCCTGGCCCAAAGCCTTTTCAATAATCATCTATAATCAGATGTATTGGCTTCCCAAGGCCTCCCATGGTTTGCATGACTCATTGGTCTTTGCTACAACATTAAAACATCTTGTGGCTCAATCAGAAGTACCACTCTACGGCTGGGTGCAGTCGCTCATGCCGTAATACCAGCACGTTGGGAGGCTGAGCGAGGCTCCTTCTCAAAAAAAAAAAAGTACTACTCTGGGCCAGGCACAGTGGCTCATGTCTGTAATCCCGGCACTTTGTGAGGCCAAGGTGGGCAGATCACTTGAGGTCAGGAGTTCGAAACCAGCCTGGCCAACATGGTGAAACCCCATCTCTACTAAAAATACAAAAATTAGCTGGATATTGTAGTGGGCACCTGTAATCCCAGCTACTTGGGAGGCTGAGGCAGAAGAATCACTTAACCCAGGAGACGAAAGTTACAGTGAGCCGAGATCTCACCACTGCACCTCAGCCTGGGCGAGAGAGACTCCGTCTCAAAAAAAAAAGGAAAAAGTAGCACTCTGAAACCAGGTGAGCCCCTGGTCTAGCCATTTCAGGAGAGAGATTGGCCTGAGCTAGGTCTCTTTTACAAATCTTCTTCATCCACTTTTGAACATTGACAACTCACAATTTCACCAGGTGGCAGAATGGTGTTACTCTATCACCACATTCCTGAGTGAAAATGTGAGGGACACAGGACCCCAGGTTGTCTGTCTCCTTCCTCCTGGTCTCCTGATGCTGTTGGAATCATCCCTGGGATTGAAAGTTGGTGGTGGGGTGGGCCCAGGAGAATGCCAAGGAATCAGGGTAGGTGTGCCAGGAGTTGGCTCCTCTATCCTAAGAGGGAGGGAGTAGCAGAGGGATGGGTAAAGGGAACCCTGAGCCCTGGAAATGAGAAGGTAGGTTCCCATGCCCAATTGTGGTGGCTTGAGCCTTAGAGACAGAGCTGTGCTAATGTAAGTGCTCCCAGAGCTCAAGTGGCAAGAGTTCAGAATCTAGAAACAGATCCATGTAGCTACACAGGCAGTGATGCCTGTGAGTGTGGGGAACACAGGAATCCGAATGAACTGAGGGCAGGGTCATTATTTCCAGCCTGCAGCCAGACGTCTTGAATTGCCCCTTTGGAAGAATTGCTGCTTTTCTCCCGGGCCTCAGCTGTGACTCTGTGCTCCCTGCTGGAACTTCACTCCATCATTCACTTATCTCTCTCCTTGTTCCTGCCATTTCTTCTCAGCCTTCCCCTCCAGCTCGAAAATCTCTCCTTCTAGAAGCATCTAAAGACCAGCTCCTCCCTTAAGTATTGTTACAAAGTTTCTCATCGGTTGGCTTACAACCCTGGTTTCAAGTGGCTTTGGCATGAACACTGGTGGGATGCAGCCATGGATCCTGGAAACCTCTTGTCATAGGGTTGGATGAGTCCAGCTTCTCATATGCCTTGTGCTATGGCTTGAGTTTGCAGTTTGTGACTAGCAAGTTCCAATGCTATTTATTTTTGAAGCTGTCTTGTTTCTATTTTGATTCTGGTAATCCAAATTGCGGTTTGGTGTTTCCACGGAAACAATTCAGTGATTGTTTGGCTTGCCAAGATGAACTGTCGGAAGAGAACTGAATGATGTAAAGCATTTTAAGTTTCTGAGTCATGACCAAGGTCAACTATCGAGTCTCCCTGAGAAGGCTTTGGTCCTAACTCCTTGCAAACCTAAGGAAGTTTTATTAAAATTCTGGGCTTCTGTTCCCCCTTCAACTAAATCCCTGGAGAAGAGCTCCCTAAACCCTGTTCTGAGCAAATAAGCATGCATCTGCTCACTGCCTAGACACAGATGATGAAGGTGGGAAGTTCTTGGGCACCTCAGGGAGCCTGAGATGCAGAGACAGGAGTAGTCTATGTCACAGGGAAATAAGGAGGCCTATATGCCCACTCCCTACTAATCTGGCATTGGCATGGAGAGGCTCAGGGCTCACCTGCTTGACTGTACAGCTACATTTCTATAGTGAGGAAAAGTTCCACATTCAAGGATTCCAGGGTGAATTGCCTGTTTGGCAAATCTGAATTTTTACATAAAGGCTTTGCTTAAGCAAAGGCATGCCTGTCTCTCAAGCCAGGGAGAGCCTGTACTCTCCCTTCTTCTCCACCCCCACCCTGTGCTGGGCCCTTATTCCCAAGTCTTTACTCCAGGTAGGAAAAAAAAAATCCATTTCAAAGTCTTCTAGAGTTAGGGATAGATCCCCATTTATTTACTTATTTTTTTGAGACAGAGTCTTGCTCTGTCTCCCAGGCTGGAGTGCAGCGGCACAATCTCAGCTCACTGCAACCTCTGCCTCCTGGGTTCAAGCGATTCTCCTGCCTCAGCCTTCCGAGTAGCTAGGACTATAGGCATGCACCACGATGCTGGCTAATGTTTGTAATTTTAGTAGAGATGGGATTTCACCATGTTGGCCAGGCTGGTCTCAAACTTGTGACCTCAAGTGATCCACCCACCTTGGCTTCCCAAAGTGCTGGGATTATATGTGTGAGCCACCAAGCCTGGCTAGAACCCCATTTAATACAGCCACTTCTGCAAAGCGCCACCTGGTAGGGGCCAGGCCCTGACCAGTAAACCAGTGAACTAACTGAGCTCCTAAGAAACAGCTCTTTCAGACCTAGAGAATCCAGCTCCTGTAGATCCAGCTCCCCCAAAAAATGACGGCCCCCGAGTCACGGTCCTGCCAAGCCCTCCTGTTGTGGCACTAGGCTCCACTCCAGAAACTGAAGGTCGAGTCTGGACAGGTACCTGGTGAAGGATGTCTGTGGCTAGTTGACTGGAGATGGGTGTTTTTAAACTGCTTTTGTTAGCCAGGCGTGGTGGCGCATGCCTGTAATCCCAGCTACTTGGGAGGCTGAGGCAGGAGAATGGCTTGAACCCGGAAGGTGCAGGTTGTGATGAGCTGAGATCGCGCCATTACACTCCATCCTGGGCAACAAGAGCAAAACTCCATCTCAAAAAAAAAAAAAGGGGGTGCCATCCACAGCTCTATGAATAAGTAAGTAATTAAAATGCTATTTCTGAAATGTAAAATAAAGGACAAAATAGTAAAAAAAAAAAAACACAAAAAAAAACCCAGCTTTTGTCTTTACAGAAGCGACACGTTCACTACAGATAAATTAGAAAATACATTTGACAGAAAGACTACCCTCTTATCCACTACTCCCAACAGTTTTTTTGCACATGTGAGCTCATACACATTATCACAAACTTGGGATCAATTCCACTTGATCCAAAGTGCAATTACGTGCATTTTTAGTTTGGGGATAACTTTAGATTTACAGAAAAGATACCTCATATATACCCTTCACTCAGGCTCTCCAATGTTAACATCTTACAGAACTCTGACACATTTATCAAAACTAAGAAACTGACATCAATTCGTTAAACACTAGACTTTATTCAAATTTTATCAGTTTTTCCAATAATGTTCTCTTTCTGTTCCAGGATGCACTCCAGGATTCTGTGTTGCATTTAGCCATTGTGTCTCCTTAGTCTTTAGCGGCCTGTTGATAATTTTTGGAGTCTTTCCTTAATTAATTAATTAATTATTTATTTTTGAGATGGAGTCTCGCTCTGTCGCCAAGGCTGGAGGGCAGTGGCACGATCCTGGCTCATTGCAACCTCCGCCTCCTGGGCTCAAGTGATTCTCCTGCCTCAGCCTCCTAAGTAGCTGGGACTACAGGCTTGTGCCACCACACCTGGCTAATTTTTGTATTTTTAGTAGAGACAGGGTTTCACCATATTGGTCAGGCTGGTCCTGAACTCCTGACGTCATGATCCACCTGCCTTGACCTCCCAAAGTGCTGGGATCACAGGTGTGAGCCACCATGCTCAGCCCGAGCCTTTCCTTATTTTTTATAACTTCAAGTCTTTTTTTTTCCTTTTTTCTTTTCTTTTTTTTTTTTTGAGGCGGAGTCTTGCTTGTTGCCCAGGCTGGAGTGCAGTGGTGGGATGCTGGCTCACCGCAACCTCCATCTCCTGGGTTCAAGCAATTCTCCTGCCTTAGCCTCCTGCGTAGCTGTGACTACAGGTACATGCCATGACACCTGGCTAATTTTTGTATTTTTAGTAGAGATGGGGTTTTGCCATGTTGGCCAGGCTGGTCTCAAACTCCTGACCTCAAGTGATCCACCTGCCTTGACCTCCCGAAGTGTTGGGATTACAGGCATGAGCCACTGCACCCGGCCACCTTGACAGTCTTGAGTTCTGGCAGGTATCCTGTAGAATGTCCCTCAGGTCTGGATTTGTCTGACATTTGTCTCACGATCATATACTGGGAATTTGGGTTTTTGGTAGGAATACCGGAAGTAATGCACCCCTCTCATGACATCACTTGGTTAGGTATTTGCCAGGCTTCCCCACTATAAGTTTGTGACTTCTCCTACTTTAGTCGTGGGAAGAATCACTAAGTCTAGTTCATCTTCAAAGGGTGGTAATGAGGTGGGAAATATGAGAGGAAGGACAGGAATTAAGCTCCACCTCATCTATAGGAGAGTATGCATCCACATCCATATGTATTCTTTGGAAGGCATTGTTTTGAGATTTGTTTTTCTGAATATCAAGTTAGCCTGACATTTCTCCATCCAGAGAGCCTATTCTTCACCTGAGCAGGGGCAGTGAAGCATGCTGTGAGCACTTCTCATTTGCTTCCATTCTTCTTGCTCAGGGAGAAGAAATTGGCCTCTGACTCCAAAGGCTGTGAATGCTTATTGAGCGTGCTACCTCCTGCAGGGACTGAGTGGTAGGTGGCCTGGAAGGAGCCTTTAGTTAGCCTTGAACTTGACTACTGTCCCAGACAGAGCAGTGGCAGTGGCCATAACTGGTTGGGAACCAGGCCATGCCCACTGGGGAGTCACATCCAGTCAAGTGGCCAGGGTCTAACCATGCCATAGTTCTTGAGGCACCAGCAGTGCTAGGCCAAGCTCTGCTAAGGAGTGGGTGTGTAGCCTCCACCTGCGAGCCCAAAGAAATCACTAGACCTGTGGTAAGGGGTGTTGCTGGCTGGGAAGCCTGCCCTGTGCCAGAGTCACTGGCCTAAAAGATAACCTGTCAGGCAGTCACTCAGCTGTTAGCCCTTTCTCCCCAACTTTTGGTTTGTTCAGATATTAGCACTTATAAACAGCCCTGGCTACTCCAAAGGTAGTGAGTTATCTCAATTGACTATTCACACTTATGGATCTAACTCCTTGTTCTACTCTTTCCCCACTTCTTATAGTAAACTTCACTAGTCTTTAAAACCTAAACAAAAAAACAACCTTTTGCCAGCTCTCCCTCACCCCTATATTCCTTCCTCTCTTACTAGCTCAGGAGGTGGGCACTTCCCTGAGATTCGGTTTCCTTTTTTTTTTTTTGAGACGGGGTCTCACTGTCACCCATGCTGAAGTACAGTGGTGCGATCTCAGCTCACTGCAACCTGGCCTCAAGTGATCCCCCCAGCCTCAGCCCCGCAAGTAGCTGGGACTACAGGCATGAACCACCATGCCCAGTTAAATTATTATTATTTTGGAGACGGAGTCTTGCTCTGTCACCCAGGCTGGAGTGCAGTGGTGCAATCTTGGCTCACTGCAACCTCCGCCTCCTGGGTTCAAGCAATTCTCCTGCCTCAGCCTCCTGAGTAGCTGGGACTATAGGTGCAGGCCACCACTCCTGGCTAATTTTTGTATTTTTAGTGGAGATGGGTTTTCGCTATGTTGGCCAGGCTGGTCTGGAACTCCTGACCTCAAGTGATCCACCTGCCTTGGCCTCCCAAAGTGCTGGGATTATAGGTGTGAGCCACTGTACCTGGCCACTCCTGTATTTTTTAGGGGCCCACGGAAAAGAACACCAAGAGACACAGCAGAGGCCCACAACCCACACCTACCTTGGATACTGGGTATACTGAACATCAATCAAAAAAACACATTCAAGATGTCAAGTAAAAAAATAATAATAATAGGAAACACTTCAAAGAAATAGCATTCAAAAACTGGTCTCACAGCTTAAAAAGGGACACAACTGGGAGTTAAAAACCGTCTGGTAATTCAGGTTCTGCCAACTTTTTGAGAAATGTGGCCCTTGATGGCCATTGTGGCTGCCTCTGCTCAGGCTCAAGAGCTGCCTCCTGCTGTAAGGCTTAGATCAACTGTCCTTACTCAATTTGATATTTAAAAGAGGTCATCACATTGTAGTCCTCTTCCAAGTCCAGAACAGTCTCAATGATATTATGATCATCAAAAGCCTGTTTGAGGCTGCCAGGGTCAGTATCTGAGGCCTTCTGAGGACTCTTGTCCACAAGCAGGGCCCAGGCTTCCTCCTTGAAGGATGAATCTTGACAATGAGCACACACGTGGTTCAATTCGTTTTCAAATTCAATCTTTCCAGCCAATTCTTCAATAGTTCGGATGCTTGTATGGTCTTAAAAATAAGAACATTCAGCTTTACAATTCCAGTGGAAGGTTTCTGAAGACATTTTAGGCACAAGTTAAACCATTAATGGGTTGTCATTCTTCAGGGATTGTGGAAAAGCAGACATTTCTGCCCCAGGGCAGGTAAGCAGCTGGACTGCCAAATTAAGGTAGGTTTGGTATCCTCCTTTCAGGTCCAAGCATTTATTGAGTTCCAACTATATGCCAGTCCCCAAGAAAGGTATAAGTGGGAGGATACCGAAATGTACCTGGTTGGCCACGTGCGGTGGCTCACGCCTATAATCCTAGCACTTTGGGAGGCAGGCGGATCACGAGTCGGGAGATCGAGACCATCCTGGCGAACATGGTGAAACCCTGTCTCTACTAATGCAAAAAACTAGCCGGGCATGGTGGTGTGGGCCTGTAGTCCCAGCTACTCAGGAGGCTGAGGCAGGGTAATCACTTGAACCTTGGAGGCTGAGGTTGCAGTGAGCTGAGATCACGCCACTGTACTCCAGCCTGGAGACAGAGCAAGATTCCGAATAAAAAAAAAAAAAAAAAAAGAAAAAAAGAAAAAGAAATGTACATGGTTGTCCTGGTTCTCAGGGATGACAAGACACAATGTGAAAAAAAATAAAACAAGGTCTTTAGGGTAACCAAAATGTTCCTGGCCAGGAGGGGTGGTGTGTACCTGCAGTCCCAGCAACTTGGGAGGCTGAGGTAGAAGAATCACTTGCAGCCAGGAATTTTGAGACCAGCCTAGGCAATAGAGTAAGACCCTTGTCTCAGAGAAAAAAAAAAAAAAAAAAAAAAATGCCCTCTGATGTTGGTGAAGGCCAAGGAAGATGGTGGGTAGAGGCAGTAATGATTTCAGTTCACCTCCTGGGGCTACTGGAGCAGGCCACTGAAGTCATAGGCTGGCAGCGGTTTTACTTTGTGGCCCAGGTGAGTATCTATCTTCACCAGGCCTCCTTTTCCTCCCTCATAACCTGGAGACCTTTTAGAAACAACAGCTTCAGGCAGCACCCACGGCTATACAGCCCTTTACTAGGAGCTGTTTGTCCACTATGTAGTATGAGTTGTTTAAAAACAGGGCACTCTGGCATGGTAAGCCTGTAAAAACAGGGCACATTGGCTGGTAAGCCCCAGCACTTTGAGAGGCTGAGGCAGGAGGATCACTTGAGACCAGGAGTTCAAGACCAGCCTGGGTAACAAAGCAAGACCTTGTCTCTATTTATAAAAAATACTACTACTACTAATAAAAAGACAAAATAAATAAAAAATAGAGCACATGTAGTTCACATATAGAATATACAGATTTCTATGTAGAAAAAGTGTGACAGGATATATGCTATACTATATTAACAGTGGTTATCTCTGGGTGGTAGAATTATAGGAAAGCTTTTGGCTTCTAATTGTTCTCCAATTTATTTTTTATTTTTCATTCTGTCGCCCAGGCTGGAGTGCAGTGGTGTGATCTTGGCTCACTGCAACCTCTGCCTCCTGGGTTCAAGCAATTCTCATGCCTCAGCCATCCTAGTGGCTGGGATTATAGGCATGCACCACCATGCCTGGCTAATTTTTTGTGTTTTTCGTAGAGAAAGAGTTTGACCATGTTGCCCAGGCCGGTCTTGAGCTCCTGACAAGTCATCTGCCCACCTCAACCTCCTAAAGTGCTAGGATTAAAGATGTGAGCCACTGCGCCCAGCCCTTTTCTCCCGATCTTCAATTGCCTACCCCCGCTGGACTACTCTCCTCGTTTTTGCTTCTGTCCAGTCTCCTAAAAAATCTAAGCTCAATCACCATGTCCTAGTGGTCACCATCCCTTGCCTTCAGGGACTCAGTGTATCTAGACATTTATGAAATGACCTGATTGATGTATCACCTCACTAGATGATCAGTTGTATGGAGGAAGGGAAAGGATTTGTTTTGTTTGTTTGTTTTTTTCATTTTGTTTTGGGATACATGGGGAAAAGATTTGTTAACATTCAGTTCTCAATGCAGAGTATGCTGTGAGCAACACAAATCAATGAAATAAAAATATAAGGCTCATGCCTGTAATCCCAGCACTGAGAGGCCACAGTGAGCGCATCACTTGAGCCCAGGAGTTCCAAGACCAGCCTGGACAACATAGCAAAACCCTGTCACTACAAAAAATACAAAAATTAGCCAGGCATGGTGGTGTGCACCTGTAGTACTACTATAGTACCATGGTGACTTGGGAGGCTGAGCTGAGAGGATCATCTGAGCCCAGGGAGGTTGAGGCTGCAGTGAACTGTGATCGCGCCACTGCACTCCAGCCTGGGTGACATAATGAGACTCTTGTCTCTCCCTGAAAAAAAGTGGTGGTGGTGGGTTTTTTTTTTTTTTTTTGAGATGGGGTCATGCATTGTTGCCCAGGCTGCAGTACAGTGTGGTTATAGCTTGAGCTCCTGGGCTCAAGTGATCCTTCTACCTCAGCCTCCCTAGTAGTTGGGATTATAGGCACACAACCACTGTGCCCAGCTAATTAAAAATTGTTTTAGAGACAGATCTCGCTATGGTACCAAAG